CTGTGACATTAAAAAAATCTCTAATTTTTTTTTATAATGGATATTTAAGATCGGCATGCTGATAAAAAGCACATACAATGCGCGTACAAACTAAGCATTTTGATCCGTAGTAAACCAATTACAAGCATGTTCCCCTGTTTGTAAAGTTAAGAATAAATCAGACCCTAAGGATTTCAAAGAACGGTTTTAAAAATGGGATGTTGCTCACCTCCTTGGAAAGATCACCTTGGGAAGGGCCAGGTATCCGTCGTCATAGAAATGAGCCGCGTACTGAATGGGAGAATCTGGAAAGAATAAAAACACCACGAATTTCACAATTTGTACCTTTGAGTTGGCATTTCTCTGATTTACTGCCTGATGCTGCTCTCTTGTGGCAGTTTAGATCGCTGCAGGATGGAGATTAAACCACAGGAAAGATACCGGTACTGTTGGCTAATCGGTTTCTTGGCAAACTGGCCATGGTGTGAATACTGTAGTGTGCTTGTCTGTGTCTGTGCGTCTGCCCTGTGATAGACTGGGGTCCCATTCAGGGTGTACACTGCCTTGTTCCCGTTGCCTGCTGGGATAGGCTCCAGCTCTCGTACTGGATAAAGTGCTTCGGAACCTGGAAGGATTCGTGAATTACGAATCCTCAGGTAATGAAAAGCAACCTTTTGAAGTCGAGGGCAGATTATAGTATGCTATGCATTTTGAGAAGGCTGTAAATCTTGCATTAACTGTATTTGGGAGTATGGCAGTACTAGCAAAAACAACCAATGCTAAGGAATCAATATGTGATAATCAATAAGGAAACTGTAAAGTGTCCAACACTTGCTGTAAATCTCATCAGTCTGGTCACGAACATGTACGAGTACTTGGAACCAGAAAGGCCTGTCCAACTTGTTGATGTTCTGTCTTCTTCCTTTAAAGTGTTACAAATGCACTGATCACTCACATATTGTGCCTATTTCCTTGTGTTAAGGGACCCACTGAAAAATTATACTTTATTTTCTCTTTCAAGTAGTTATTAGGTCAACACATTTCATAAGGACAAGCTTATGGGTAGCAGTTTAGTTGGGTTCTTTTGGGTAGCAGTTTATTACAGTATATTGGTTGTTGCTTTGATGGTTCTAAATTTAACAAAGCCACTTCAACTGGGACAAACACCAATGATATTGCTGCACACCAGTTTCTAAATTGCCACTGAAATGCAGCACAGAATAGACAAGGAAACTCTAGTTTACAATCAGACCACAAGCGCTACATTGAAAAGGCCGTTCTGTATGAACATACTGGTAACCTTCATGCAAAAGCCTTTCCTTTAAATGTTTCTGAAAAGTAGTCACATACCTCTTCTAAATAGAAGTGGTATTGATTAGAGTTGTATTAGTTTTTGGCCAGCAGCAAATTGAAAATTATTCCCACATTCAACATTTGAGAAAGAGCCAAGCAGACAATGACACATAAGGTTCACACATCCTGGATTTGGCAGGGTTGGCAAAGTTGTGAAGGGGAATTCTACACTCACCTTCTCATGCGAGTGCAATAAAGCAAAAAAAGGTAAAACGTTTTTAGTTTGAAACCATTACAAAAAACCAAATAAGGAGGGAATTCAACAGCAGAGGCTATTTTAGTGCATTCATTTAATGCAGTTTATATACGTTTGATATTTTCTTATTTTCAAAAAGGCTCAAATTTATCATTACTGCTTGCCTTCAGTGTGAAACAAAAAATGCCCTCATCATTCTACAGCTTTCATAATATAGTGCAGGCTTAAAGGTTATGCATTCCCAGTGATTAAACCATTTCACTGTTTTCATTCTGAAAAGAACACTCTACTGAGTTGGGGATGGTTGAAGATTTAAATCTGTACCTCTGCTCTTAAGCACTTAAAATTATATTTAGCTTTTCACATTGAATGTAAAGTCCCCCCCTTCAACTTTTATTGGACAGACATTTTCACAACAACACCAATTACAGCAGTCAGAGACAGATGAACAGAGACATATATTGTGTCTGCATGTTAGGTGTTCCCCACCACTGGGCCCGGGTTTTGTGTTAGACACAGACATCAGATAATATACTGTACCATTCCCTTCATTACCCTCCATTCTCCACTGAGACTCTGGAGAGCTGACAGACTCCCCTGTGTGATTGGAATATAGATATTAAGGGGCAGGCAAATGATTTCCTAATTATTTTCAGAACAAGACACAGAAATTTGCACTCGCTTACAGGTTCTCAGTTAGCTATATGCCCAGAGCTATATCAGAAGAATAGAGGACCTTTTCCATTTGTTTATTATCACACGATATCATAAGATACCATGTGTGCGCGCACAGTGACATAACACATTATGTGCAGGTGAACATTGTTTATCTGCCATTGAATTAGTTCACCTGTCTTTCCTGGGACCTTCTTTGCTGATCTGCTGTGAGTTTCATGTAAAGTTATGTAAAGTGTTCGGAAATCCTTCAAGATATAAACCACTATACACGTGTATTTAAGCCACTGATACTCCATCCAATGTCGTGTATTTCAATAGTCCCTAATAAAGAGCTGTATGTATACTTCCTCATTTGGGTAATGGAAAGTAGTGACTGTAACTTTCTTCTCCAGCTGGCAGGACAGCTTGTTTTATATTTATACATCTCGGATCATCAGTTTTTTTTTCCTGCACTTTCACATGTGAATCAGCAGTTGCTATGCAAACCCGTGTTATTGCTATAACACCCCCTGGGTCTGCATCAACTGGAGAAGTGATGTGCATCTCAACGGGGGCACTGTAGGCTCGCAGCTGCTGTTTTTCTGCAAGCTGAGGCTACCTGTGCCAACTCCAGCTCCCCTCTTCTCCGGCAGCGCTCGGACAGTTGTGAGCCACTGCTTGGAGACCCAGTTACAGCTGGCCCAAGCCAAAACACATCCATCTGACCCATGGGGTCTTTACTTGTTGGGTTGTTCATGTTAACAGATTCTCCTGCAGCTACTGTGCACACCCACAGCTGGTTCTGATGACAGGAGGGTGACTCATAAAGACAGCTTCAAAAACTAAAGGAATTAGCAAAGAGATGGGAATTAATTAGGGGGAAAAAATGCAGCACACCCACTTAACTACTCAGGACTTGTTTAGTAGTGTTTGCATGGAAAAGGGACATCAACCAGTACAACGAGCAGAAGGTCCTTATTCCCAGAAACAACACTTGAAATGAGGAAGGGAGTGAAGTAGGGAACTGGCTTCAATTGCTTTCATGTAAAATATTAGTTTAATAAAACAGTGACAAACATAACAACTGGGAGACATGTCAATAAGGCCTGCACTAGAAGGAATGCAGATAAATACTTAGAGGAAAGTGATTTTGTCTCTGAAAAGTTTGAAGAGTGACTTAATTTCCCCGTGATGAATTAATGGAGAAACTGGTGCATGCTCCCCCACCCAGAACAGTCACAAAATGTACTTGACTGAGAAATATACAGGTATGTCTCTAACGTGACGCTACTTCCAATTTCAAACTGCTGCCAAAGAACAGCTATGCATGAAGGCGTGCAAGAAATTAAATTCCTCATGGCCATTTTTATTTCAGATCATTGCTAGGGCTGTCAGTCGGCTATTTAGTAGAGTCAATGAAGCCTTTATAGTATCTATTTAAAATGGGCTGTGGATTGTGATGAATTAATAAATACTCTTAGGGCTGCTTGCTTCACCATTTCAGACTGCCAAGTTACAATTTAGTGAATGTTGGGCAAACTAATATTTTGCCAGTATTCTGTCTTGTGATGCCATTGGGAGTGCAGACTCCTAAACACACACCCCTACACACTCCGGCCACATCACTACACGGTCTGCCACCATGGTGGATGCCACACACACGAGGACTTGCAGATGGAATAATATGATAATAAATAATTGCTTACACTTATATAGACCCTTTCTGGACACTCCACTCAAAGTGCTTTACAGGTAATGGGGATCCCCTCCACCACCACCAGTGTGCAGCCCCACCTGGATGATGCGACGGCAGCCACAGTGCGCCAGAACGCTCCCCACACACCAGCTCTCAGTGGGGAGGAGAGCAGAGTGATGAAGCCGGTTCAGAGATGGGGATTATTAGGAGGCCATGACTGATAAAGATCAAGGGGAAATTTGGCCAGGATGCCAGGGTAACACCCCTACTGTTTTGGAAGAATGCCCTGGGATTTATAATGACCACAGATAGTCAGGACTTTTAACAGTATAGTGTCCCCGTCACTATACTAGGGCATTAGGACCCACACAAACTGCAGGGCGATCACCCCCTGCTGGCCCCACTAACACCTCTTCCAGCAGCAGCCTTAGTTTTTCTTAGGAGGTCACCCATCCAGGTACTGACAAGGCTCACACCTGCTGAGCTTCAGTGGTCAGTTGCAGGGTGATAAAGCCCCTGGGTTAAATTGTCTAAACCTGTTGCAGATTAATTAATCAATTAACTCATTCCATCAGCTGTTTAGTTCTGCGCCCCCAGCTGTTGCTCGCTCAGCCACCGAGCTCCTTCCCCTCAAGTCCCAGTGTTTTCGGTCTCTCAGTGTTGGACCCCCCTGGCTCTGAATATCTCGTCAGACTTTGACGTTTGGTTTTTCCCTTCCCGGTGCTTTTTTCCTGATCGCTGCCTTCCATGCTCCGGAACTCAGGCCCGGACTCTCAACCCCTCTGTGATACACCGGCTTTGGCCTCCGCTTGTTTTGGATTTCTCTGACTTTACACCCCGCGCTCCCTCCCAAACCGCTCTGAGCCCAGCCAGCCAATCCCCACGCCTTCCCCACACCGCGGCTGGCGAGCACAGCGCCATTACAGCCCCTACGCAGAAGAGTGTGGAGCAAAAACACATTCGGCTCCTCGGGGCGGCAACGGCCTCACTTACGCTTCTCGCAGAACTGGCCTGTGTATCCAGCAGGACACAGGCACTGGTTATCAGAGCAGCGTCCTCCGTTCTGACACGGGTTCTGCAGCTGGCAGATGTCCTTGGAGATCTCACAGCGCTCCCCTGGGGAAAAATCATCAACAGTTTATAGTAGGGATTATAGTCTGCATTATAAGGGACTATAAACCTTCTGAAACCCCATCCTCTTACATTTTATGTCCTATTTGCCACTACACTTTAGAGAAACTAACTTCACCACACTTACATAACCTATAAGTAATCAATGGATGAAAGACACTCTCTTGATGTGTAGCCTGGACTGTTACAACCGTTCCCAAAACAAACAGGATCAGCTTGAGTTACAAATGCTAATTAGCCTATTCAGACAACCATGTTGAGAAAGCAGTGGACCCATGTAATGAGTTTCAAATCAAATTGAGACCAATTCCCAAGTCATTCCCAATCACACTAGACCCCAGAGGTCACTAGCATCACTTGTGTTCATCAAACATTCCACTAGCTGAACGCACTGCACCATCTCAGGCGAACATTGGAGATGTTATGGCTCATTGGGTTGTGGCTACATCACTATTGTCCATGGTATCATATTTCGCATAGAGCACTTCATAGCTACACAGTGAACGGTCAATGTGATACAGGTGTCTGAAAATACTTCATAATGGCAGCATGATACTACAAAAGCCTCCATGTCAGCAGATACTGACATACAACCTGTAGACCCATCTATTTCAGTAGTAGAATTGAGAGGTGTTAGGTTTTCATACATACAACTCCTAAAATCCCAGTAGGAAAACTAGGCTTTTGGGATTCAATTATGAGTTCTAAAAAAATAGAGGACTTTTTCGTACAATATAGTTCTGGGCATTTGGATAAAGATAACTCCTTCTTGATTCACCAGGATCCTTCAAAAAGCATCTTGGCAAGGTTTTGGATCAAATAAGCTTCAAAAGAACAACCTCATCCTCTTGAGAGGCCACTCTTTAGACTGGATGTCTGTGTGAGATAATGAAACTCACTGTCCAGCCAGAGGTCTTTCATAGGAAAAGAACATCATGACTGTCCCACTTCTGTAATACTAGACTTCTGAAACCAGGCAGAATGTTTGCTGCTGAGCTTGTAACAAGTTCCAGAGCTCTGTTCACAGCATTGTTCTGAGGATCACATAACGTGACTCTATTTGTGCAAAGCATTCATGTTTGCAGCCCAGTGTTAGGTGAAACTCACCTTCAAAGCCATCTCTGCAGAGACACTGGAGCTCGTACTCTCCAGGAGCAAAGCACGTGCCCCCATTCAGGCAGAGCATGCGGTCGCAGGGGCTTTGATCGACACACTGTTGGATGTTCTTGCTCTCGGTGAAACTGTAGGAAAGGTCTACCTTCTTTCCATTGATAGAAACCTGTCAAAAGAGCAGAGAAGTAGCTTCACGTGTTGAAACATGATATGTTAAATCTTGAAACAGCCTTCTGCTTGCCATTAACATGGGGGGTGGGGCTCAAAGAAGATTGCTTTTCTGCTTTTTAACACCAAATGAACGTGGGCTTTTCCTCCATTCAATTACCTCTCCAATGCAGCCATCAAACAGCATGCTGATATTGGCTGGTTTGGGAAGAATACCAAAGCTGGGGACCCCACCCAGGTACATCGGGGTGTGGATGTTCAGCCCTTGAGCTTTTCCCGGAGATGACCTTCTGACCTCCCTCTGCTGGTCCACTTTAAGCATCCCATCTTTGTTGAGGCGCTCAGCTGTCACACGGTGCCACTGATTCATAGTTATGGGCTCCATGCTGCGCAGTACAGCCAAGCCTAGGCAAATCACACAATGAACTTGTTTAGTTCTTACATTACCAAGCCAAACCTAGAGAAACAAATTGAGCTGTCTGGTGCACTACCAGAACACCTGGACCATGGCTGACTTCTGTGACCCTGTCCAGCCCAAGTGGAGAAGAACAAATCTGCACTCATGAATCTCCCTTTTCTGTGCACTAAAGAGTCTAATTCAAGAGACAAGAGGAACAATAACTAATGTTGATTAACAATCATTTTAACTATTGTAAACATACACCCATCCATTTCCTAACAGCTTTATCCACTGCTGCATCGCAGGAGAGCTGGAGCCAACAGGTGCAAGGCAGGGTACACCCTGGGTTGGAAACCAGTCCATCACAGATCACACACACTCACACTGAGGCCAGTTTTCCCAGAAGCCAATTAACCTACAAGTATGTCTTTTGACTACGGAAGAGAACTGGAGCACCTGGAGGAAAGCGCATGAAACCACAGGGAGAGAGCATACAAACACCACCCCCCAGGAATTGAACCCAGGGCCCCAACACTGCAATACTAAACACTGTGCCACCACACCACCTCCGTTTGTGAACATGAATATTGAAGTGTCCAGTGGATACTGTTAAGTAACTGTTTGCCTGATGTCTTGGAAAAATGAATTCACATTCTGAATCTGTGGAACACGTTTTGAGATTAAATCTCCTGAGGCATTGTTTTTAGCGTAGTCTGCTTCTGATTGCTTCGTCATAACATCAGCATTGTCCATCATAAACAAGTACAAAAGACATAAACATTTAGATATTAAAAAATGAAGGGCAGGAATAATGCATGTTTAACCATTTTCTAGAACTGCTAAAAAAATATCAGTCATATTTTTCTGTTGATAGTGATTTATGAATTATTATATTTTAAATCACACATATATGTGTATCTATATGTCTGTTTACCTTAATTAAAACCATCTATACATGAGTGGATAACATGCCATTAATATCCCAATTTTGGCCATATGTTAAATGTAATTTTAACTGCCCTTTGATTTATATCCAAATAGTAGATCTCCATTTGCATCTTTCTAATAAAAGTAAAAATCATTTATTATGGCTAGGTTGTGTGATAGTGTATGTGCACTTTTGACTCATATTTATGCACTGGTAACATACTCTGTTAGAATAGAGATGATTTGTATGCATAATATATGAATACACTCACTGGGCAATAATAAAGAACCCCAAAGTCAATGACCAGACCTTCTCTGAGGCAGGCAATGATTGACAAGACATTGAAAACTTCCATTACACTCTGCCCTCACAGTAATCCCCAATTATCAATCCTATTTCCAGGTCCAATGTGCTGTTCAATCCTACACACTGTTACCCCCCTCACAACCTCAGATGAAAACGATCCTGCCAAAGGAATTTGATTGGGATTGGACAGCAAATGTTCCGAACCATACATAATGCATTCCATATCCCTTTAAAGCTGTTCTCACTCCTTTCAGAGGTCCAGATAGGGGAGTTCCAAATATGTCTGGCTAATAAATTAACACCCCAGGATTTTAATCTCACCCCCCGTAGAAGAGACAATTTGATTTCAAATCATCATCACTGACAATCCCATGAAGAAGGAAGTACCACTTGTTCAACTATTAGAAATGTTGTATTGTTAATAACAAAGATATGATTAGGATCTGAACTAACTGTAGGCTTAGGATTGCAGGTTAATTTTTGTGATTCTAGGTTCCAGGTGGACAGAATCACTTCTGAATTAGCATTCTTTGAAATGAGAGAATTTCGATGAGGTGACAACCTGTGGGATTTAAACGAAATAAAGAAATGATTACAGACTATATTTCTTCCACTTTAAGGGCAGTGCGAATTAAGACAGCAAAATAATCTGGGTAGACAGACCGCAGAGCAGTTGGAGAGCTGAGGTGGAACTTAAATTCTATACATTTTGGTACTAAGGATATAGCATATAGGATATAAGGGAGTACGAAAGGAGTTTACCGGTTCCCAGTTCAAAGCGGAACTCCACATAACTGTCCACTAATGCCAGCGACACAAAGTCTTCCACTTTCATCTTCTTGCCCCCACTGAAGAACATCAGCCCCTCCATGTCGTAGGGCTTGAACTCCAGGTCAATGCGCAGGTCGTTGTGGATGTTGGTGAGTGGAGGGTAGGAGATGTAGGATTCACTGCCATCGAAGGAGGGCGTGGTCACCAGGGTACCTAGGACAATGGACACGGCGCTTGTCAAATCGCACTTGGGGTTTTTTTGTGGAAGAGGGTTTTTGGATCTGTGAAAGCATTTTTCTCTAAGATAAAACCACAGAAGAGACGCACTTGGAACAGAAACAGGATGATAGGGAGTTGAGGAAGAGAGGAGGGCTGATCAACCGTACCCAAAAAAAGCTTCAGAACAGCCACTTTCAGAAATTTTAGGGCTTTAATTCTTTCAAATTGTAAGAGTAGTTCTCCCTTGTCATGTAAATAATTCAAAAATGAAACTGAATTTTAATCACCACATCTGAGCACGAGGCACAAATATGTTTTAATAGAAGGGAAAGGGTACCCAACTTTACTCAACTCTTTTGCTAGTGCGAGTGTCCTTCACGTTTCAGAGACATTGTCACAAAAATGAATAATATACTGTAAGCAGGATGTGGAAAGAGTTCAATGGACAAGAATGGACAATTTGTTCCATTTTATATAAACAACAGTTTTCTTTCCTCTAATGCTTTGTAGCAACAATAGCGAAATACACCCATCCCATAATTTGTTCCTGGAAAAGGTGAAAATCCATAAACCAGAAACTGAATTCTCACGCCTTTATATATAAAGCCTCCAGAATCATTCCCAATAACTAGATAATCATCCAGCATTGCTTGTTTTTACTCTAACAGAGCCCAGAATCCTTAAAGTAAGAACACTGTTGCTTATTTGTGATAATTACCCTGTTTACCCCTGTACAATAGTATAAATGTATGAGATAAATAGACAAGATAAAACGTGTAAAAAATGTAAGAATGCAGACACGCAGCACCTATCTTATGGAAGGCCAAGATAGTGTCTTCCATCTGTGTACTAATGGATGCTACTTTTGTTGTACTCTTTTTTACGGGTGAAAAACAGGAATGAAATACCCAATTGTTACAGGTGAAATTTGTAAACCAAGCATTTGTAAATTGAAAGATGGCTGTTACTTATTTTTAACCTAACAGGACACTCACCCCTCACAGTAAGAATGGTTGTTCGTTAATTACAAAATTAAGCCTCGTACAGTAGGTTATAAGTTAAATAGGCCTAAGAAAATGCATTTGCTTTCTAACGTCACGACAGTACTTTCTGTTTGGGTATGACGGACGTGCCTTTGTTGTAGCGAAAATCTCACAAATGGTGTGCACTTGAGGAACAGGTGCACATCCAGCTTTAATTAGAAAGCGTCGTTAGTGAATTAGCTCACCATCCATGCACTTTTCTCCAGACTTGCCCAGGTGGCACCGACAGTTGTAGCCAATTCCACTCTGCTTGTTGATACAGGTAGCGTCAGGTCCACAGGCCTCTGCAAAGGCAATAAAACGTTTGGTAGTAAAGGTCTGAAAAAAACAACAACTTTACAACATGTGCTTTTTTTTTCACATAGTGTATCTTAGTTTCAGCTGACCGGAACAGCGACCGAGTCCGACTCTAAAGCTTGGTGTTCGGGCAAGAGCGTACCTGGATGACAGTGCAGCGCTGAGCTGTGTTCACAGTTGCTCCCAGTGAAACCCTGCAGGCACTCACAGATGTAGCTGCTGGTGTCCGAGTCTCGACAAACCCCTCCGTTCTGTCAGGGGAAAACACAGACAACTCTCACTGAAGCACCGGCCTCTGTGGGTGGAGTTTCCACATGGGTTGTAACTTGAAGGTGCGCAGTACTTTGATTTTTAGTTGTATTGTGAAGCAGAGGAGGCTTCTCCATTCACCTTACCATTGCCTTGTTTCACTGATGCTGCTCTCTAAGAACACGGACTCCTTAAGACTCTATTGGCACAAATTTTCAAAAGGCAACAAAGCTGCTCAGTCGGTTTCTGGCTTTCACTGTACTGCTTCTTCCAAAATCCACCAGAAAGTAATTTATTTATTTAGAGTTTCTTATTCATCAAAAAGAATTTCCTCTGCGACGATTTATTTAATAATATTTAATTTATTTAAACAGTTTGACTGGCTCCCAGAGGCCCTGAGAGCTGGCAACTGGGAATTGGCGTCAGGAGCCAGAAGGCGGAGCTGGGAGCTGTTACCTGACACGGACGGTCTTTGCAGGTGGGGCAGTTGGAGATGCCTCTGGAGCTGCGATCCAGATCCTTGAAAATCACCTCTTCTCCCTGGACAATCAGCTGCCGAATGCAGCCTGACAGGTAGCATGCCGCGTTAGCGTGAGAAAGAGCTTTTCCGGATATTCCAACAGACTTCCCTCCAAGCCCTGTTCTTAACCAGCATATTCCAACCTTTCAAACCCTTCTGAAGATTTCCGAATTCAAACCTTTTTTGAAGGTTTCCGAATTAGGGGCAGGTGTTTCTATAGCCTGCTGTTTTTATTTCAAGGCCGTACAGAGCCACACGCTTCAACCTAGGAATGTTTCTGCTTTGAAACACAGAATGAAGCTTTGAAATTCTAATACAAATACACTGAAATGAATAAGTGTGAGAAACAGGGATGAGGGGGTGGGGTGGGGTCATGTTTTTGGTTTTCAGATCCTCATCAGATTAGTGAAACATTCTAAACCTAAAATGTTTACATTTTTTCTGGGTCCTTTCCCCAACCGATAACTAACAGTGGCACTTAAAAATGTTAATGATTAAGAGATACAGCCTTGTATAGGACTGCTATCTACAGTAACTGTTGTTTTTCCAGTTACATTTAGCAGCCAGAGGCAGAGTTGCAGTTTTTAATTTATTTTTAATTACGATAAGGAAAAGCAGAGAGTCAGGGATCTTACCCACAAACCCACTCTTCAGGCCAGTGGTCTTCGAAATGCTGTCGTAGTCTGGGTAGCCTCCCACATACAGCTCCTCATTCAGATCCAGGCCCTGGAATTTACCCTATAAACCAGGGGAAGAGAAAACAGCCTCTTTCAATGTGACCTACAACCTACCTGTCACAGAACTGTCTGTGCACAAAGCTTTCTTCACTTAAACTCATTGAAGTAAAATAAATAATAATAAAGCCTGAAACATGTTTGCCCAAGTCTTGCAAGACCATTACACCACTGATAAAACACAACTGAGGTTCCTTTAGGAAAATTCTCTTTTGTAATTTGCCATAGTCTTTTCAGGTTTGTTTACGTGGCTTTTCAAAATTTTTAAGCTGGTGACGTGAAATGAAAACAATAACAGAACAATTACATACTGTGAAGGAAAGCAAGTCAACAAAATTACTCCCTTTTTAAGCGCACATTTTCCATCCCTCCATTATCAGAAAGATGATTATTTTCAGGGCAACCAGGAGCCTATCGCTATCTATTATCCTATTAGGAGCCTAGCCTAATAAGTAATAAGTTTATTTATTATTCACTTACAGTATGGAAGCATACTGTCCCAAAATGGGAAATTTGTAAAACTCCACAGAAAAACTGAACCTTGGCCCCAGTAGGTATTGGTCAGGAACATTATCACGGTTATTTGCTCCTAATTTGAATTTTTAAAACATAAGCTGGATTTTATGTTTTATAGGCAATTAAAATATAACATTTTTTCTACATACTCACTTTCAAAATCAGTGCCTTCACCATAATCGGACTAAAGTGTTGGTTTAATACAGGGAATCCAGAATTAGCTTTTAGAAATTGAACATCATCTTGTATTTTGACTAATCACTGCCATAATCCATTAAAACACAGAATAAAGTAGGACGAGGACAACAAGTGATTCAGTTAGTTTAATTTCTTATAAACATATTATCATATTTTCTTATTATCAAAAACATTTGGTCTCAATGTCTGTGAAAAAAACCTTAGCTTCCCTTTTCTTATGCTTTCCACTTCTTAAACACTTATTGTCTGTGAAGATTCACAGCGAAGGCACGTTGAAACCATATGAAACTGCAGCAAAGTTATGGTGATATGTGATAAAATGTGCCATGGAAAATGATCATATTGTAAGGTTTTACTAAAGTTCTGCCTTATGCCCTTTTAAAAACAGCAGCACGTTAGATATGCAGCTTTATGTGGAAGAGAGACGCAGCTTGGTTTAGTGTAGTTTAGAAATAAGTTTACTCCAGAGGCCCCTACAGAGCTGAGCTGAGAGACACCGAGCAACTCTCACTTACTCAAGTCTGAAGCACAGGTATTTCTGAGTTCTCTTTATACATTAATTATAATCAAGAACACTGTCCTGTGTAAGTCAGAATGCTGTGGTAGGAAAAAGACACTGCTAACCTAACCAAAGTCTAGTCACAGTTTAGCGGGCTAAGTACGAACCTAGAGTTACAAAAGGTGGTCTGTCTTTTAAAATGAGACTTAAAGGGGACCTGCTTAGACTGATTATTAAATCTCAAATTCCCAAATTTGAAATTGTACAAATTCCGAATCAAGCACAAAATCATGAGCTTTGTGAAAGCACTGTATAGTCACCATGTTGGTGAGAGTGAGAGCTCACAGGAATTGTGACGTGATGCGGCCCTTCCTGCTCACTAGTCACTGTAATGACTAACGTACTGTGAGTACTGTATGAGTGAATAAGTACAGGTCGTGCAGCAGACATCCCCCCACAGAAATGTTCCAACGTGATCTGCATGCGGAGTTAACAAGTAAGTAGTATTTGTCGGCAAAACTGTCTCAAGGATGAGAGCAATATTTCTATTGGATTATAAGAGAAGCCTGCTTCTTTACAATGTCAAAGGGCCAGCACACACATCATCAGACATTTTGTTGCCTCGTTCTGAATTGCAGAACATGGCGCTGTGCATACATGAAAATCTTGTCTATTTTGTGATGTAAATTGGAGGTTTTACATGTTACTGTGTACATTTGCCTTTTAATGTAGTTTTAAATGCTCTCAATAAATGCCGATTCTTTCTAACCCCAAAATATAAAAATAGTGTTGCAGTTCCCCTTTAACTGTAACAGCATCTGTTTTTGGGGAAGCGATCTGCCTTGTTGTCTGTCTCACATGGTTTTCTAACACACTCCAAAGTTCTTATTGTGGGGAGGTGAGCGAGAGGGAGGAGCCAATCTGAACGTGGGGTACCTGAGAGCTCCCACTGACAGGCAGGTTGTCATCCACTGTGAGGGATCCCTGAGTCAGGTTGCGGAACAGCTCCACGGTGTGGAACTCCCCCAGGGTGAGGGGAGTGGGGTAGCGAATGGTGGCCATGCCTGACCCCACGTCAAACCTGCACAAGCAAAGAGACAAGCATGCGGACAGAGGTCAGTGGCAGACAGGGGACGTACAGGGCTCTCGTCATCCCATTCTTCCTGTCCCACATCCTGTTTCCTGTATCGTCAAGGAAACCCGAGAAAGAGATACTTCATAACGTTTAAAGAATCTTGGTGGATCCACAGATAACAGGTTTTAACACAAATAGGTTGGGTATGACTACAGTCAGCACTCGTCCAAATCAAGGAACATAACAGTAATTCCGTTGAATTTCAAATTTGTTTGGGTCTCTAAAATCACCACCTTTTTCAGATTCAGGCATACCATGATTATGATTTAATTCTAATTCTTGGAATTATTGATTTCCAAAATTTTTATTTTCATCCAAAGCAAATGTGTAGGTCAATTTGAAAGCTCAGTACACCTGCTGAGCTTCAGTGGGCTTCAGGTTGTAAGTTGCAGAGTGGTATAGATCTTGGTTGACGTTAAAGTCAAATACGATCATTGATACCGTTGAACCTGCTTAAACTTTAAAAATCCTTGATTCATGTTACCTTCAGAAAAGACAGAATAAGTTCCTGACCTGAATTCAGGGCGTCCGCCTACTAGACCAAGAGATATAAAGTCGGCGCCCGTCGTCCTCTTCTGTCCGTTGTAGATGATCATGCCTAAAAGCCCAAAGCAAACGCTGTCAGAATGCAAGAGATGTGGCCGCAAAAAGATATTTTCTACCCTGAAGAGCGAACAGCTTTTGACCAGTTTGGAAAACGGCCATGCCATTGAAGATACACCAAGCTGTATTTTTGGACCATGCTGGTCCCGGGCTTCACCTTTGCTCGGCTGTCTACTTAATTCTAGTGCATTAACTGCATTTGAACGTTGCCTGCATGCTCTCACAGGCCACATGCCAAGGGAACATGCATTGATAAGATCAGCAAAAGATCACATGACATCAAGCTGGTTTTGACTTCACCAGACAAGCAAGTATTGTAAAAACGATCCGATACATGCCACCTGTTTTAAGCATCTTCTCTGGAGATCTAATGACACTTAATTCTCCTCAAACCAGAAATGAACACGGTTCCTGGATAATAACCGTACTGTCAGTTTGCTTTCAAATTGAAACTTATAGTAAGCTGTTTGTTTGTTCCTGGTACTGTAAAAATAACTTGATTTAATAAGCACAAGCATGACAGTCTTGAAGTACCCTGATCACCACAGCTATTCTGCACTCACTCTGATGCAGTCGTCTTCTAATACACAAGTGATGACCTTCTCATTCTGCTTTCTCAAAGAACCTACTGTAAATGCCACCTGCACGGCAGACACAGCTCCCTCTCGTTAAGCTCCTGAAGGCACTACTTTTTCACAGCATAGACCCTCATCAGACCCGCAGTAGAGCCAATTCAACACTATCTAATTCCAGGGCCCCCACAAACCCTGAATCTTCCGCTCCTTGGCAGAGTCAATAACTATCAGGGTCTGGATGAGAAGTGGGTGTGGGGGTCCAGACAAGACCCCAGACAAGGTGAGCTAGTTATGATACAGGAACATTGTAAATGAGAACAGATCTAATGACGCAGCTACATGGTACTGTATACCAATACATGCTGTACTACATATCAATAAACTTTTAACGTTTAATTGTAACAATATTCATTTTAATGCCTAGACCAAACCTTATTCCATTCATTAGACATAATTAGCTAATATGACATTGTCTTGACTGGGCAGCATTTTTCATGAACCTGTTATGGTTTGTTAATATCCTCAAAACTCCAAAAGGTTAGCGGTGAGGCTGAAAATTTGAAGGTGTTCCTTTATAGTTTTACAGTTTAGCAATCCTTTCAAAGAGAGGATAATTTTCACATTATCCAAAAGCATATGCAGGGCTGGCATAAATTCCAAGCAAGCCTTTTCCAAGTTATTTAGAAACAGCACACTGCCAGAAAGCCTTTCATTACTTTTTTATCCTTTTAATAATTATAATCCTTCATGGGTTTCCTCTCCTACGTTAATCGCTTTTATTCAATCGTCCTCAAGGAGAGAAACAAAGCAGATGAGGGGGATTTAAATATTGCAGGCAGCTTTCAGCCAAACTCACCAGCATATAGAATGAGACCTTCAGACCAACAGAGGGATGGAGAGAGAGGGTTTGGAGGAAAGGGAGGGAAAGACAGACAACAACATGAAACACCTGGAATGAAAAACTGCCCGTGGACACAACACATTCCTGTGCAAGTCACAACAATTGCAGACTAACGCAATTATGTAATGCTTTTAAAAATAATTATTTAACAAACTGCTTCAGACTGGGCTCTTTTTAATGTATTTATTGGAGAAACATTTAATAAGCGCTGGATACTGAGAATCAAAATAATCTTTCTTTCCAATCCTGTACTGTATATAGGAAAATAGTTTTTTTGCTACCATTTTACTTAATACATTGTATAGTAAAAGCTTCACAGTACATGCAAAATAAACCAATCTGTTCTCAGAGCCTGTGCCCAAAATAGCCTCTTATAGCAGGATTTCATGGAACAAAATGATACCTTAGGAAAGCATCTAAAACTAATCCAACTTGAATTTTTAAACTATTATAATCTCTTCCTGATTTTTGGCTTTGACCATTTATTTCAATTTATGTGTGCTGTTAAGTGGTACTGTCCATATAACTTTTGCATCTGTTTCATGTTTTTTTTGTGCATTAGATGTTTGAAGTGATTTGTGGTTACTCCGAATTGAAAAGAGCGACATGAAATAAAATTGTAGTTAATAAAGACCTACAGTATGATTAGACAGTTAAATAGAAGAAGACATTTCTATATGAAATGGGCGTGCGTTAAAACACAATACACACAATCTCCTTACCATCAACAGTGTCCGGCCGGAAGGTGACTTTGATATGGAACGCCTTGTATGCGTTCTTAATGGTGGGGAGTGTGAGATAGGAGATGGGAGTCTGGGTAAAATAGGGCACCACTCTTTCTAAAAGTGACAAAAAAAGAAAAATACAGTGAAAGAAAAGCATTAAAACATTAGTTCTCCCTTTGCCAATAGGTCTTTTTCCTATTTCCTGAACATTAGCTGTTTCTTATTAATGAAAATTAGCAAGAGACATTTACAAGGCAGTCTCACTTGTACGTTCTAGTTTTTGCAGTTGGGAAGATTTAAACACCAGATGCCTTTAATAGTAATTCCTACTAAACAAGCAGACATTTTGGGCTGATACAACTTGCATTTACCGTGGATTAGTGTTTTTAATCATAATGGAGACAGAACGGTGAAGGTACATTGTCCATGAACGGACAATCTCATAAGGATACACCTTCAAAAAGGTTTAAAGATGAAGGAAATGGGATTTTGGGAAAATTGGCTCTGGTGTGAGTGTGTGTGTCTGTATCTGTGAATGTAGCCTACTGTAGTGATAGACTGGAGTCCCATCCAGGGTGTATCCTGCCTTGTGTCACATGCTTGCCAGGTTAGGCTCCGGCTCCCCCGCCGCAGTTTTTAAGATGGATGGATGCATGCATTAAATATTTTACTGTTCCTATTGCACATGGCACACCAGTCTTCCTCTCTACCAGCTTGAGAGCCATTACTGGCTTCGACTGAAATAGACCAGAGGATTTACAGTATTTCACAACGGATCTGGGCCGAGATACAGTGAATGCTGGAGGCACTTACCGTGAACCTTAAGCATGGAGAAGGCCTGCACTTTGCCCTGCTTATTGGAGGCTGTGCACACGTATGTGCCCATGTCCTCTGGGGTCACTGAGGGAATGGTCAGCACGTTGCCCTCTACTGTAGCCCTGGGGGGGAGTTTCCCGTCCAGCTGCAACCAGAAGAGCAAGTAACCAATGCTATCGCAGGCATGCGTCTGCACCTTTCTGTTGTGCAGAACCCTGTGCCTTTTTATCAGGCGGCTCTATAATGACCCAAGGCAGAACAACTTCAAAAATGCATCCAATATCTTTGTGTTCTAGACCAGATGGTGAAGTGGTCCTTATTCAAACAAGTGTATTTAGTGTCTGGTGCATGGTTGGTCCATGGAGAGCACATTCTCATGCACTTGCAAGGGAGGAGGCCAAACAGCTACATGTCCTTCCACACTTGCATGCCACCGCAGACATCAAGGTGGGGTGATCACAGTACTAATCTGCTGCAGCACCCTCTAGTGAGCGCGAACTCTCCCCCAGGTCTCAATTCTGTGTGTACAAAATGGCTCAAGGATGCACGGTTTTTCAACAGCAGGGTGTCACCTTGGTCCACTTGATCTGTGGGACTGGGTACCCCGAAGCCATGCAGGGGAACACTGCTGCAGATCCCACAGTCACCTCCTTCACCTCTGGCTGGGCAGCGATCTGGGGAATGGCTTGAGAAGGAGAGCACCCAGGACAGATTAGGAACAAGATTACAGCTCTTGTTGTGGAATTTAAACACGTTTAAAACAGCCAACTTTTCCTATAACGCACAATTGCTGGTGATGGCTGTATTAGATTGATATATTTTACGTTAGAGCTAAAGTTGCCAGTCTTTGCTCAGGGATAAAGGTATTTAGAATTCTGGAATATCCAATATTGTTTGTTCTTATGTAACTGTTAGCATTATATGCTGAGCACCCCATTTTTTCCTGCTTGTCTTTCACATTGAAGGGTTAACTCTTGTTTCAAAACAGGAAATCACAATGAAATTGTTTGTGCAGGGAGAGGAGTTTCAGAAACCACACCATTTAACCAACAGAAATAATTATATATTTTCAGGTTGATTCAATAGGATTGGTTTGTCAGGACAGAAGCTCTTGGTAAAGGTCTTTGTGCGTAGCTGGACAATCTCTGTCAGGTAAATACTGTAGCTCCCATTACTTTCAGCTTGACGATGTATTACAGCATTACAGGTGTTGTAGCCATAAAATCGAGTCACAATCAAAATACAATTCAAATTTCAAATTGGGACGGTGATATACAGTATAACATAAAATGTGTGCTTTCTGTCATACCCACTCCCACCAGAATGCTTGAAGACGTGAGTTACCACAGCAAGAGGCAATACCTCCATGAGACATGTTTGTCAGCTGGTTGCCATGACTACACACTCAGTCCACCACACACATGATCCCTTCCACCTGTGTGCAGCTAATGACCACGCCTGTCTCACTGGGAGCAGACTAGTGTTCGGATTTTGACTTGCCTTGCCTTTGTACTCTCCTATGTGCTTCACTCCTGTGTCCCTCTGGTCACAGAGTTGTTTGTTTTCTCAACTACACTTTGGATTGGGCCTTTCTGCTTGGTACTCATCACCCGGTTTTTGCTTGCTAGCCTCCTCAGCCTTTCCGTGTGCCTGCCCATGGCCGTGCCTGAATTTGGGTTCTTCTCCCGAGCCCTGGATGCTGCTTTACGCGGGCACGAGCACCACTGTTACACTGCTCGATTCAGAAAGAAACACTTTGCCGAAGGGCACGCACGCTTCGGGAAACGTGTACTCACACTGCACGTTGAGGACCACCTCAGACTGGACAGAGCCGACCTCGTTGGTGGCGGTGCAGCGGTAGAGCCCGGCATCCGACTCCTTCACCTGGCCGATGGTCAGCATCCCGTTTTTAACGATGATGTGCGCGGGCAGCTGGCTGCCCACTTTGCTCCACTGGAGGGTGGGCTGGGGGTCTCCGATGGCCTGGCACTCAAACTCCACGGCGTTCCCCACCATCACCGTCTGCACGGAGGTGCGCACGTTGATCATCACTTTGGGCAGCGCTGCAGGAAACCAAAAGGACAAGCAAAATCAGTGAGCCCCCTATCACGCCCTGGCTGGTACCCTCTTGCAGTGTTTTCCGAATCTCGTCATCCCTGTGGCACGTTTTTATTTTATTCTTTTTTATTTTTTTATTTTTAGAACAAAAAAGCATTTTACATATGAACATCCATTATTCAGCCTTACATCGCAGGCACAAATTCCTGTTTGTTCCCCTAGTTATTTACAATTATGTAACTTTTTAACAAAACTATATACATTCAAAAGAAGGAAGATGGATACATTTATGAATATGAAAAGGGAGTAGACTATATAAATGTATCTTATTACATTTCAGTTATTCTGTATCTCAACAAAATCTGACCTTAAAGGTTTAATGTACTGAACCCCTCTAGACCAATATTTGACAAATTTTTTCATTTGTAATTTTAGTGAAAAAGTTATTTTTTCCATTATATATATTTCTTTTATTAATTCAATCCAATCATTCATTGTTGGTAGATCTGTGAGAAGCCACTTTCTTGTTATAGCTTTCTTCCCTGCTGATATAAGGATTCCAAACCTGTGGCACGTTTTTAATGTCCAAACTGTTTTGCGGGACACCAAAACGCCTTCTCAAGTACGCAGCATGAATATTACAAGAACCAACACTGTAACTGAAACATAAGCTACAATTCTAATGAGAAAAATGTGACTTCACTTTTGGGACGGAAACGTCACTGTGAATTGTGAGCTTGTTTCAGCTCAGCGGTGGAGAAGGAAGCACAAAACTCTTGATTGCCACAGCACACAGTTTTGGAGTCACTGTCCTAAAGGATACGTGCATTTCCGAACCACTCAGTTACATTACTGGACAATCCTACAGCAAGCCAGGGTGTGAGCCTTTAACTCCATACAATAGAGCTCCTGCCAAAACAGCAATTAATCCCAAGTCACCAGATCACCCAACATAGATCCATGCAGTCTTTCATTCTTTAAAGAAGGTTCATTTCAAATCATGCAACAGGCTGTTAAAAACAAATTTGACTAAAAATGATCAATGTTAAATTGCACAAAACCAAACATACCACACATTCTTTAGCAATTCTAAACTGCCTTTTTATTTTTAATTAGGGATTTTAGAGCACATTTTAGATGACAGATTGTGTGGAATGCTCTGCAGTGCACATTGGTCTGTACACTTTGTGAACCATTAATAAAACACACACAATTAATAGCAGTATATTATCCTCAGCTAAGAATTATGGATATTTGCTGCAGCTTCCCATTTTTTCTTTGCAGAATGGAATAGACCCTCCAGGTCCAATGTCCAAAGGGTCTACAGAGACTGTGGAATGGAATAGTCTGGAATGGAAGCAGCTGACCTTGGATGGTGAGTTTGGCAGTGTCCTGTGCCTGCCCGTACACACTGGTGGCCCTGCAGATGTAGTTGCCCTCATCGCTCTTGTGCAGATTCTCTATCCTGGAAAGACACCAATACTGATCGTAAAACACTATGGTAACCATCCATGGTCTCTTTTCTGGAATAGTACACAGTTTTGCCAGGCTAGCTACGCCTGTTTTGACATGACTATTCTACTAATGGCAAAAACACAAACACAGTAATGAAGCTGCTTGTGGTGAGATGTGAAAGAAAACATCTGACAAGCATTCTGTCACTTCCTGGTACAATATTAAAACTTTAACATTAAATTCTCATTTTGAGCTGCCTGTCTTCTGTTTAAAATAAACAAACATGAGATTCGAATGAGAGGAGGTCATTCACCACTTCTTGTTTGATTGGTCACCAGTAGTTAAATGACCCAAAATTCGCAATAAAACAGTACCTTCTTCCTGAATTCAATACAGAAGCTTTTATTTATTCTATCAGGGTCAATTTAAAACTACTACCGTCTTGTCTGGGTTTTGCTCTGCGTGCTTCACTTCCATTTTTATACAAAATCGAAGGCGTAAATGAAAATGGAGGCGAAGAAAATCTCAGCTCAATCTCAGCTGGGTCACAGCTTTTCTGGAGTTTCCACAGACACGTTGGATGACTTCTGAAAACCGAGTCGCCAGTAAAACCATTTCTGATAACTTTAAGCTAATGAAAAATTCAATGATCAGTTATTTCCAATAAACAGCAAAACAGCGCTGGCTTTCTTTCTGTGCATGCAGCACTGTCATCTGCTGCTGAGGGTTAGCTGGCCTGTATTTAATTTAGGGATTTATGACGGCAGACCCCCAAACCAAAGTATTGCTCTGCTTCCGGAGAAAGCCCTGCTCTCACCTCAGCACTCCGTTATAAATGTGGTGACTGCGAGGCAGAGCGCCACCTTCCTTCAGCCACTCAGTCCTGGTCTGGATGCCCCCGGTGGCCGAGCAGGTGAACTCCACCGCACTGCCTGGTGCTTTCACCTCAATCCGCGGCGAGACCCGCACTGCCAGGGGAGCTGTGGAGCAGAGCAGCCGAGATCAGCAAACAGAGAGCGGAAAATCACACGGGCGCAAAAACACAGAACTGACGGCCTCTTATTTCACAGAGGGGAGCTGCGTCGGCCGCAAAGGAACAAGTACGGGTTTATTCCGTGCTGAAAAGAGAAGAAAATGTTTCGGCTGTGAAGCCACCCGAAGAAGGCTCCACAGCCGAAATGTTGTGTTTCTTTTCTTCTCTTTTCAGCGTGGAATAAACTCGTTCGTCTTATTTCACAGCTTAGTTTGTTTCCCATCTTCTCCTTTAGGGCTCTCAGACTGAGGGTGGCTTTGCTGTGCGGTCTAATGTTCACTTCATCCAGTGACCATTTCATGACTGAAGACCGCGCCAGTGATACCCCAAAAAACAACAACTGACCTCACATATAAATGAAGTGTAATGTTGAACAAAACCATCCAGAATCTACTTTTAAGAAGAACTTTTGCTGTTTAACCTCTTTCAGTCGTGGGTCTGTTTAGAATCTGCAGCGGATTCGACTCACATCTGACCGTGACTGTGGCCAGTGCCTCGCTGTTGCCCACTTTGTTGTTGGCGAGGCACTTGTAGGTGCCCGCGTCGGCCACTGTGGCCAGGTCGATTTGCAGGGTGCCGTCCCGGACCTCCGCCCTGGTAGGGAGGACGCCGTCCACTTTGGTCCACTTGTAGGTCAGAGGGGGCGTCCCGTGGGCCAGACACTGCAGCCGAATGACCTCGCCGACCCTCACCGCAAGGCTGTCTGGCAGGGAGGTGGCGTAGGGAGGGCCTGGGCAGGGGCGAAAGTTGCCACATGACACAATGAAGGACATTTCTACACTGGAAGGAGTGGAAACGAGGGTCTATCCTATACAGATAAGCTACAATGGACTGAACCTAGAACAAAGATATAGATCACTTATATTAAGCCCAATTTCTAATTCCAAGCTCAATGACGGTCAAGACCAGGTGCCAAGAGATACACGGTCAGCAGGTATGGTGCAGACTTGGGCCATGCTGGTACTCTTAACTTTCCAAATAATCCTTATAAATCCAGATTTTTCAATTAGCAATTTTGTAGACAGGGTCCCTTACATTTTAAGAAAGGACTGTCAGAACTATAACTGATAAAGGGGAAGATTTGAAAAAATAATTACCAGAAGATAGGAGACTCTTAACTTCTCATCATGCAACTCACAACAGCTGTAGAGTCAATTTTCCTGGTCTGGGCCAGTTTCAATTTTTACTTTTGACCAGTTACATAGATGAAGAAATATAATCCCTTCATGCTGACCTAAAATGACCTTTTCTAGTCCACATCGCCCACATTCCCACCTTGGATTGGAAAAAAAGGACCCCCACTTCAAAATGCACAATCATTGAACTGGGTGCATGAGTTAATAAGACTTGCATTGCCAAGATTGTTAAGATTGAAACTAAGTCGCGTCAGCAAATGGATATCCTGTTGTTTTCTTTGTTGTCCTGGCTTTATGTATGGAGTCCTGGGAAACTAAAAACACAAGAGGAGAACATTTGGAAAGTGCTCTTTTTAAGGCCATGCACAAACTCACTCTCTACATCAACAATGATGGTGATTTCAGCAGTGCCCATGGTATTGGTGGCGTTACAGATGTACTGCCCTGAATCCTGGCGCCCCACATTGGGGAGAATGAGGCTGTTGTTGACCACTTTGTGCTGCCAGGGCAGAGGGGCGCGCAGTTTAGACCATGTGATGGTAGGGGGTGGATGACCTTAAAGGAAAGCATGAAAAATGTGCACAACATGGTTTAAGTTGCTTTGTAGAAATATGACCACAGGATAAATTGAGAAACAATTGGGCCATCAAAGCCTGTCCATGGCCCCACAAGACAACTGAAGATGATATCTTGTCTGTATTCTTCTTATACACTATCCTTTCCAGGGTAGTGAGAATGACACTGTTTGGGATATGATTCATAATTAATGAGGATTACAATGTAGTAGTAGACCAAGCCTTTTCTTCAGTAGGCATAGGAATGTATGACATTGCACACAACAGGCATGACTGTGGGTATATGTCCCTCTGGTGCACTGGTAAAGGCAATAGCAGACCAGACTCATGTGTCAATTCAGACAGCCAGAAGGATTTACAGGCAGCAGATAGCTGATAAAGGAAAACACTAACAGAAAGGGCAAGTCAAGCTGGGAGAAGCTACTGAATTCAAAATTATTAAATTTCACATTTTGTCCGTTATCTTCATCAATGTACGAGAATTTTTGATGGACACTAAATACTGCAGCGCTGAAACTGGAGACGGACAGATCTGCTACCACTGACGTTCTCCGATATGCTGGCAGGTGAGCAGAGATCTAAATGAGTTCAGAAATTATGGTGATCTTTTTCTTACTGGTTTCAAAATGAAGAAACAAATCCAAGCTCAAGAAAGGGTTTCCGAGGCCAACAGATGTCCAAAACTAAAACTAGTTACCAGTGGCTGTGCAGTGCAGGGTGGTAGTGTCCCCCTCCACAACGATCACCAGGGGCGCCTCCGCAGATGCTATGGGGGCAGATGTCACGAGGGGGCCCCCCTCCACAACTACGTCCACCTTCACCTCCGAGGAGCCTTCGCTGTTTTTGGCCATGCAGCCGTAGGTACCAGAATCCTCAGGGCGGGCTGCGAGAATCTGCCAAAATCATCCGTTTAGAAAATAAGCAATCCAGCTCATACAGAAAACAACAGCCCTAAGTCACCTAGAAAGGTGGTCTCCAGCACTGTGGTCTATAGTATCTTACCATCCATCCATTTTCCAACTGCCATATCCAAACCAGGGTCATGGGGGAGCCCGAGTCCATCCCAGCAAGCAACAGATACAAAGCAGGATACACCCTGGACAGTCAGCCAGTCCATTGCAAGGGCACACACACAGACACACACACTCGGTTTTCCCCAGAAGCCAATTAACCTACACAGATACGTCTATAAAAAGTGGGAGAGGAAACTGGGAGCACCTGGAGGAAACCCACATGAACAGGGGAGAGAACATGCAAACTCCATGAAGATACTAGCCCAGGAATTGAACCCAGGGCCCCAGCACTGCAAGACAGCACAGCTACCCTTTACACCACCCTCTATCATCTTCACATTCAGCCCTAATGAAACACGTTTAATTTAATTTAACTGCAGTAAGTTTGCTATTGCACCATAATCCTATATCTCAGTTGCTAGAATTGTTGAGTCCTACACTGTTTTGCACTATATAATTTATGGTATTATATTGAATTCTAAACATTTGGTTACATACCTCCACACCGTGTAACTCAATCATTGTGAATATAAATCACCGAAGATGAAGGAGCTGCAGATTTTCATAATATCGTACATTTTAACGGATCTGAGCTTCGGTTTCGATTTCTACAAGTCACACTGTCAGGTTCGAGAGCAAGCTTAAATGAGGATGCAATCCCTGTGAAAAACCATTACAGCAAGAGGCTTGGAAACCTCCATGGATGCACAACGTCTTCAGATTAAGTTCAGACAGAAACAGAAAAGGTCCGGAAGGCTAATATGGCAACAACAGGCTACCAACCTGCATGACGGCATTGGAGTCCATCGGCACCGGACTGCTCAGCACAATCCTGCGAGCCGTGTCTGACCTGTGCCAGGTCACCGCCGGGCGAGGCTCGCCCGTCGCTTGGCACTCCAGGTTGATGGGCTCACCCACCTTCACCCGCACTGGACCTTTGGGCGTCACTGTAACCTGGGGAGGAACTGCGGACAGGAGAGCAAGCTGAAACACGAGCAGGGCCGCCGGTACTGATCTTTATCGCGGCTCGTGAAAAGAGCCTCTTCTAAGCCACGGGCTGTAGCGTTACCTTCCCAGACTCGCTTTTTATTACCGAACAAACTCGGAAAACGATCGCATACTGCCTTGCTCTTTCCCGAACCTTCTGCCTCCCCCTTAACAAAGCCCACCCACATTGTCCACATGAAGTCTACTTTTGATACCTAAGAAATTATAAATACAGTCGACTCACAACCTACCCAGGGTTTAGGGATTTTGAGAAGCACGTAAAGGCAAATTCAAGTATAGTCAAATTTGACCCTGGGACTCTTATAATTTCTTCCGATAATTCAAGATATTAAATATAAGTATAAAAACAGTACATACAAGTAAATCAGCCGACTATGTAGGCTCACTAACTAGCTCTCAGAGATGTGCTCGATGAGAGTAAAGCATTTTTCAATTTTTTTTTTATTTTCTGGACCCTACTGCGTAAACCTGCAGCCATCTTAGTTAAGAGCAGGTCAGTTGTGAAGCGACTGTAAATGAAAAGACTCTGACGTATATCTAGCTGCTTCAGGACATCTTTCCCATTGGACGTGCTCCTCTCGCTGTACCTTTGACTATCAAGGAGACAACGCTCTGTGTTATTCCAAAGAGGTTGCTGGCCACACAGCGATAGGTGCCCTGGTTAGCAGGCCGAGCCTTGGCAATGGTGATGACCGAGCCGTCTGGACCAATTTTCACGTTGTCTGGAACGGACAAAAAAAAAGATCATAAGAAGAGCTGACAGAAAGTGAAGTCTCAGCCAGTGGTTTTGCACAATACAAAACACAGACCAGTGTCTCAGGTTTGACTGGATTTGGTCTCTTTTTTATATATTTCTCCTGCTGAATATGAACAATAAAGGTCATGAGCGTAAGACGTTTAGAAAAAAATACTATTAAAACCAAATTATTTCCAAAGTACAGTAGGCTGGCATTAAAGATGGATGCACGGGGCTACTGGTAAGAAAAATAAAAATTAAAGACCTGAGTAACTGTTTTAAATGAAGACCAATTAACAGCCAGAATCAAAAGCATTTACTTTGATCTTCATAGGTGTGAGCCTTGTATCATTATTTTATTATTCTGAAACTATTTAAAGGTTAACCCTTAAAATTTAACACCAGCCCTTTAATTTAATGGAATTTTGTTCATTCCAATGGCACAACTGCAGTAACACTAATACGATAACAGCTAACAAAAAGCAGTGAATCATTAATTCAATTTGTATGCTTTTAAACAGATGATCATTTCCACTCATTGAAACCACTGTCCTCTCCTCCCTAACTCCCCGCTCTCAGCTTTGGGCTACCACAGCTGCAAACACCAATACAGTCCTATTTCTTCAAGCAATTTCAGGAGCAGAAGTTTATAACGGGGCGGTATGAACTCCCCACCTCATCACCACATAATAGTTGCCCTGACGTGATTTTACCCTGCAGTGGCTGGCTGTTCGTCATCTTCCATTCGATTCTGATGGGTTGAGCTCCACTGTAGACCCGGCACCTGAAGCTCGTAGACTCTCCAGGCCGGACGGCGGCACTGTGAGGCTCGATGGAGATGATGGGAGTCTGCAGGCCTGCTCAAGACACATCAACAGAGCCCGAAGGCTCCATCAGCTCCGAAACACCATCACTTCGGTCAACAAAACCCCCAAGATAAAACTGTTTTCTGCAATCTGTGGATTCACTTTCACAGTCTTTATTTACTTCTTCCTTTAATGCAGAATCACTCTTCACCCTTCCTCTACACCCTTCGACTTCCTTCTTAAAATTATTTGACAAATTAGAAGTGTAAGGTGTTGATTTTTCAAAACAAAGGTGTGTCCCGGCAGCAAATGGCTGCCCACAGACAAAAGAAGAAAGGGAACCAAGGAGAAGGTAAAACATGAGAGTTGATGTCAATTATTTAACCAATACATCCATTTTCTAATTGCTTCATCCAATTCGGGGTTGTGGGAGAACCTATGCTGGGAGGCATCAGGCGCAAGGCAGGATACACCCTGGACAGGACGCCAGTCCATCGCAGGGCATGCACACACACACACTCACACTCACACCTGGACTTTTCCCATTTCACCTCTAACAGCCACAATCACACTGATGTCTCCCGTCTGCGTTCTCAAAGAAGGATTTCTTAACTCCTTTTGCAGGAAGACACCCAAAACCAAAATTATCTTAAAACTAGGGTTTTAAAACGACAGACTCGTTTCCTTCTAATCCTCTGTATTCATTTGCAGGTTTCGACTTCAGACCTCTCTTCGCCTCTCTCTCGACTTCACACCTCCAGAATGGCCACTCTGCCTCCCCCCTGCTCCCGCCTGTTGTTCTCCGATGCTATACCAGCTGCTGACTCCCCTGTCTTTCTCACACCCGAAGAAGACTCCACAGCTGAAACGCTGTGTTATTTTTCTTCTCTTTTCAGCACAGAAGAAACCTTTTACTTGTTCCCTTACCAGTACAGTATGGGTTAGGGCTGTGGGAAGAAACCACAGCACAGAGAGGACACCCAGCTGATCCCAGGGTCCCCCTGGCTCTGCAACGCAGCAACGCTAACCACTTTGCCGCCGTGCTGCCTGTCTGAAAGGCTCCAAGACTGTAAGATTAGAAAGCAGGAAGGGGGGGACTCACGGGAGGAGGAAGATGTGGAGGAGGAGGTGGACGCAGGGGAGGAGGTCACCGTCACCGAGATCACGGACTGCTGGGTGACCCCTTGTGGGTGGCCACTGTTCACCTGACAGATATAATCCCCGGAGTCAGCTGGAGAGGCGTGGAGAATTCGCAGCTTGGAGCCCACAACCTGTAAGGTCAAAATAGACTGCTTTCATGTCCAGAGACTCACAGGGCCATTTTCAAACCTCAGCGCAACCCTGACAACTAATAAAGAGGTTCATATTGGTCAATCAGCATCATCTTCCAGGGTTAGTGTGCTGTAAAACCGATTTCCTTATTCAGTTTCATGTGATTTCCATCTCGATACTTTGAAATCTTTTCAGGCTACTGGTCTATAAAGCCACCCATGCTTCCAGTGAGGGGACCTACTCCTGCATTTTTTGCAATGTTTGAGATCTGGGCGTTTGGCTGCCATTCGGTTCCAGTGTCTGACCCTGAAAGCTCAATGAAACATTTGAAACAGAGTCTGGTCAACTGCTGTCACTCAAGTTGCTCTTCACTGTTTAAGAGGAAACACTCATTCTTACACAAGCTGCAGCAGTGACCAGAAAAAGAAAGGATTTCTCACCTAAAGCGTTTAGTTAATGCTGCTGAAACTAGCCCTAACTGGTTAACCTTTTTGTACCGCACCAGAACAGGAAAGCACAGGACCAGAAACTCATGTGAAGGCCTCATCCTTATTCAGTTTGTTATAAACCTTTTTGTCAGCCCTCTACCTCACGTTGAGGGACTTGTAGAAAGATCTCTGCACTGAAAGCAGCTGTAGGAGCGTCGGCGTACCTGGTGATTGGCGGACAGGGGACCAGAGGAGCGTAGCCAGGTGATGGAGGGTGGCGGGCTGCCCGTGACCACGCAGCTCAGCTCCAGGGTGCGGCCTTCCTGCACCGTGGCCTTGGAGGGCTGAATGACCGGGGCTACGACCCTATCGACTGGAGGAGCGAACACACCCAATGAAGGAACACCCCTCAGCACCCCTCACCTCCCAGCTCGTATTCCCTGCAAGGCAGGCAGAGCCCAGCGGCCTCACCTCGGAGGACAGACACCTCAATGGGAGCTTCGGAGGAGCCGATGGAGTTTGTCCCCACGCAGAGGTAGGTGCCAGCGTCCGACGCCTTGATGGAGGGGATGAGCAGGGTGCCGATGTCTGTCCTCTCCATTCGGGCCTGTACGTAGGCAGAGTCAGAGCAAGGCAGCGCATGAGATGGGCCCCAACCCAACCCATTTAGCCCCTTTGTGGACAAAAATGTATTCGATGCAACACCTCAACTGCACACAGGTGGACTCCATTCAAGTAATTATGTGACTTGGAGAAGAGGGTTGGTGACTTCAGAGGTCATTTAGGTGTGTCAAAGCAAGGGGGTGAATACTTATGCATTCAGTTATTTTCTGTTTTTTGTTTTTAATTAATTTAATAAAAGGTCTGGATTTTATTTTCACTTTTTCACATTATAGAGTACTTTGTGTTGATGAGTGGCAAAAATTACCAGTTAAATACACCATGGCTCTATGCTGTAACACAATAAAATGTGAAAATGTCCAAGGGGGGTGGACACTTTTGCAAGGCACTGTATCTTCTTTAGGAATTACACCTGACCTTTAGCACGTTTGCTGAGATTTTATTACAAGAAGGCGTTTTCTTTTCCATGTTATAATCAATTAAAAAGCCCATTTTGGATTTTCCACTGTAAAGTGGCAAAGCAAGTTGTCATTATCTAAGAAAAGGACATGCAGTCTATAAAAATATAATAATACAATGAACTTAATGTGAGTCATATGGCGATTGGGAAGTTTCAGTTTCTAATCTTGTCTGCATACGTTTTGTTACCATATAAACTTGATCTCTGTGTGCACTCATATTTTATCAAGGATGTCTGTCCTCCATGACCTTGAAGGTGACCTGAATGTGTTTTGTTCAACACAATGACATCTACATTTTTTATTTTATTGTTTCAATGTATATGAAATGGTCATTCAATAGATTTTGCCATCATTCAGTTTAGCACCCTCCTGTAAAATATCTAAAATACATGTAAACTACTTTCCCTTTATAGCACATTGCTATAGAAATAGAGGGCCATTCAGAAATAACCACATTCTCTTTAGAAACAATGGCCAGATTTCTAAAATTCACCAAAACAAAGAGCAAAGGGTCCATTTGAACTGGCTAAAGATTATAAGGTGATAAACACTGGGAAGCTTTATTCTAGATGCTGTACATGGTAACACATTAACTCCTTGAGAAATTAGTATGCAATTAAAACAGAGATTCGATTCAATGTAGAATTTCTACTTACCCCCATTGTGCAGTGTGCAGTGTGTAGCACACTGTTATGTGACAGAGTTCAGGTAGGACACACATTTTAACACAGGCAAAGTAGCACAAGGGTCAAGCACATATACAGTAACAGTGTTAAAAACACCCCTCCCCAGGTAACACCTTGTTAAGAAAACTGACCCGACCTTCTGTTTTCCTGTATATAAAGCAATTCTCTTAGGAGCAGTTTTAAAAGTGTTGTAGTAAATGCTTTACTATCATTTTTTTCTTTAAGTAAATGCTTTACTATTTTTTTCTTCCCGTACAGAAGATTGATTCTATTTATTCGGTCACATATTTAAATTGTTTAGATTGTGACCAACGTGGGTTAGCTAAGCACACATTTTCCGAATATGTAGAAAGGAATCTCTTTTAAGGCAAGCTCTGATTTGTTAACAAATAGAAAAGATCTGTATTTAAAATTCATTATGGAAAACTTATGCCAGTGGCTATTGTTTGATACAGAATCTGTGGGAAATATTCTAGATTAAGAATGATTAACTACTGCGTGTTTGGTGGTCACTGTCGAACTGGTGAATAAATCTACAGTCATAGAGTAAACAAGTTCTTCCACATTGGTTAATTTATTATTTCCTTCTGAAACCAATTGGCAACCAATATAGCATTACTTAAAGAGTAAATACAATTCTGTCAACTTTAAGTCCTTTAAACACAGAACTAAACGAATCCAATTATGGATATTAATGATCACCAAATGGTGTTCTTGTATTTTTTATTTATTGTATTTATTATTTAAAAAATACTATATTTTTATCTTTTCCCATATTACTTGTATGAAAAAGCTTTAGAGAAGTATACATTGTCAAAATTATCGAAGGATAACACAGAAAACAGAAGTATCACTCAGTTTTTTAAAACATTATATAATAATCACTTAGAAGCTTTATAAGTTTATTAATGTTTTTAAAACATACTGTATGAGCAATGCAAGATGAGGCATTGTAGACACCGTAAATGGCTGTTTTTCTGTAGAATCAGTGTATATTACTATGAGTTATTTTATATTAGATTGAATTATAATAGTAAGCAAAAAAATAGATTTTAGCGATATATAAAAAAATCTATTTCTACATTAACATTACAAATCCAATAATATCAGAAGCACAAACTGGACAAGAAAGACTGTCATGAAATGCTTTTCAGGAATTAATAGAAACCTTGTGTGGTTTATGCCTAACTGCTGTAATTTATTTTTAAGATATTAGAAAAACCTTGATCTGGGAAGGAACTTTATTACTGCCAGTTCCTGAGAAAACACTATATGCAGTATAGCACAGAAGACAATGTACTGTTTAATGCTCTGAAAATGTAAGCAAACCTTACAAAGATGTCCCATTTTGTTGAAATACAAAAAGTACAGATTTTTGAAGGATTTATGTGAAATTGTTTGTGGGTGAAAGAAGATAAATGTCAGCAGAAACTTCAAGGTAAAAGCCCTTCTGTCAGCAATTACAACTGCTTGGCTTTTTGGAACAGTCTCTGCCCTCTGTGTGCTGATAGAACTATACTGTCAGACATGTACTTAATTTATTTCACTATGCATCTCATACGGTATATCTCATATCTCATCATTTATAGGTTCTCTTGCAGCATGTGCCCTGCCATTTCACACAGGATAAACAACAAGCTGGTAAGCTGACTATTTCAGGGACATGTCAGAGTAGCGAGGATCAAAGGTCAATGCCATCGCATCATTCCCATTTCCCCTCTGCAGGCCACGATTCTACTGACCTTGCTCTGCCTTTACTTGGGGATTCAAAGACTTGTGACATCTGAAAGCCATCGTAAAACAAAAGTGGGCTCCCACCTTTTCCCATCTCTCAATGCTTCACTAATGTCTTTCCAAATCTCTCCATTTATTTGCAAATTGAAGATTAAAAGGTAAAGTAAAAAAACTGAGTAGCTGTAGGTTTTATATACATACAGAACAACAAAAACAAAAGGTATTTCAGCAGCCAGGGACAAAGATCCACAGACAGTCCATTCAGCTCACACGCCTTCAGTCATCCGTGACTTAACTGAACTGAACTGCTGCTAAGTTGCCAGTCATAAACGAGCCGGTAAATCTTTTCACAGGTCTAAAGAATGACATTTCTGCGCGGCTGAACTGAAGGCCTGACTGCACACACAGCGCAGAGAGAGCTCAGACACCAAACAAACTGCCCTCAAACCTACTGTATAAGCGAGGCGACACATGTCGTGCCCTGGCGAGTCGTTTCGGAAATTAACTAGATCAAAGTGCAAAAACTCTCACATCTGTTGGGAAACCAAATAGCAACACCATGGCAATGACATGTCCATTAAAACTAAGGAGTTACAGCAGGAATTGAATAAAACAGGGATCACTGAAGCTCCCAGTTTTACACAAACCCTCACTTCCTGAGGAACATCAATTCCTGCGCTGTTCTATGCAGTTACAATTCAGTTTTGTACTCCCCTCACCACCTGTGACACATTCCCTAGAGGGGCTGTCTTATGCCACAGACGAATCCATCACTGTTGTCTGAGGTACTGTTTGGCTGGGCTACACCAAATATGAAAACACCATTTCAATGTCCCTTGTAATGCCCTGCATACCTCTCTTCTGCTCTTTTCTTACTAGCGTTTTTGCAGGTTACATGGAAGGCCTGAGGACAAGTCTAGATCATGCAGTTTAGTTCACTGCAAATGGAGCCAAGCCTTACTGAGCAGCAGGATTACACAGAGCAGGCAGGACAGACAGGTGGGACAGACCTGGAGCTCCTCAATACGTTTCTGTAAAACTTCAACACTGTTGCTTTTAAACTGATGGAAACCATGAGAGGGTATGGCCTGAACCGAAAAAAAAAGACACAAGGAAAAGACAGGAAAAGAACAAGAAAGGAACATATTTTAAGACGGAAGTCAAAATACAAATATAACAGTCCAGTTTCTTTGACAAATAGGAGGTCCTGGAAGATACTGTGTATCTTAAAGACAGACAGAATTCAGCTGCCCTGCCATACTGCGTGTAAGTGACAGAATATGGAGATAATGTATTCAAAGTGACAAATGCAATTTAATTCTCCTAATTCTGCTTCTATGTTTCTATCCCATTCTACTGTGTAATTGGCTACAGTTTTATATTTTTTTTAATATAAGCATTTAAATGATTATCGATTAGTTGGAAGGCTACATAATAGTCAAAGTAAAATACCCTGAAAGGAAAAATAAATCAAATTTAGAGAATAAAATATTAAGAAATAACTATCAGCTCTACTGAGGGAATTAAATCCTTTAGATTGATGTTGATGAGGTTTAAATTTGGAAGCTTAAAATGTTGTTTTTTTGTTTTAATCTAATTAGTTTTCTCAATTGCCCGTCTGTGGAAAGATAACTACACACCTGTTGCGTCAAACCTTGTAGGAAGGTATAATTTATTCTCTCTTTATCAAGAAAGGGCTTCCCAAGATAGGCTCCGGGCCACTGTGTCCCTGAGTACCTGTGGTTCAGCAGTTATTGAAAACGATGGTTATCATCAGGACCCGAAGCCTCCTATCAATACATTCATCAAATACCTACTGTACCACTCAGAATGCCAGCCTGCCCACTGTTCTTCCTGACCTCCTCTGTCCTTCGATTATCCTGCTATTAAAGACGTCCTGCCTCAGACTGGTGGTGGCTCTTCATAGCTTGAAGCAAGGGATCAAAAGAGCTAGAGTGCCACCTGTACACGTGTCCCCACAGCTCACTTTCCACACAGGGGCAGTACCTGTGGGGGAAGTTCACCACCTTGCTTCTTCCAAGTCAGGCTTGGGCTAGGAGTCCCTCCTGCACGGCAGTAGAGTCTCAGAGTCTCCCCTTCCTGGATTGTAACTCGTGGGGGGCTGACCTGGATATGAGGTAGACTGGCACCTAAGACACACAGGGAAGCAGAACATGATTCTTGTAAATTACCAACAGGTAAAAAAAAAAGTTTTATTATATCACTCTTCCCTGTTGTGAGGAGAGAAGGAAGAAAAAGGGAAGGACTACTACATTAAAGTCACATGCTCAAAGGACACCCCGATATCAATAGACGAGAAGATATGGCATTGGGTTTTTACATGGTGTCACCAAATCTGACACTAAAATATAGTGAAAGGTAAGAATTTTAAATCTACAGGAGAGCACTCTTATATTTGAATTTGAAAAGCACCATAAACATCTTGTTTATGATGTTCTTAAGGTATGGTTCCTGTTCAGTGGCCTTCATACTTTAAACAAAGCCCAAGGCACATACTGAAGCTATTAATAGATATCAACCGGTCAGAAATACACGGAGCCTTGACTGCTTTGTATTTAGTGACACTGAACCATAGCTCTCAGATCTCATGACATTGAGTTTGACATCGGTCGACACAATCCAATAGCTGGAAGGCCATTGGTTCAGTTCAGTAATGAAGGAAATTCAAGGTAACGACCAAGGATTTCTACCATCAGAAATCCAGTATTTTAATCCACTTGACAGGAAGGGTATTAATGCATGGTCAGATACACCTTTTAAAATCTTTTAAAAGCTCTCTACTTTCTTCCACCCAGCTGCAGGAGGACTTACTGTGTACGTAAAGCACGGCCCGTGCTGTGTGCTCTCCATGAACGTTCAGCGCTTTGCAGATGTACTCCGCCTCATCAGAGCGCTCAGCCGCAGGGATGATGAGGACGCCGTCTCGGATTATGGCTTTCGGAGTGATCCTGTTGCCCCGCCCTCCTGAGTTTCAAATAGAACAGATTTAAGACAAAGGAAAGACCAATACCTGAACTCCATTTTCCTTGCTTGTGTTCACAACTTTCCTTTATGACAATTTTGCTTTCTGAAGACCAGTTTTAAGTGACATAAACAAACAAGTATGTTAGACAATTACTTGAGTATGTTAGAAATGTCACTGCTGTGACATCCGTTTACCATTAAACAGCAGACATTGTGTATCAGATCAGTATCTCTTATTGGTAATGCTGTTCTGCAGAGCTTCACATAAACTTTACTAACTATCCATCTTCTTAGTTTTTACCATTTATAGTTCAGACTCAAAATATTAACACCCAAATACAGTGATGTAGACTGTAAAATCCAAGTACTTAAAGAAAACAAATTGTATTTTACTTTATTTTTAACATCTGGTCAACCTGTCAAAGACTGTTCAGATCTTCACCTCTGGGTTTATGGAAGGCAGTCATCTTTGACCATGGGGAATAACTGTCTTTCGTCAGTGAATGAAGAGAATAGTCGCTGATGTGTGTTTTCTTCATTCTTTTAGATTTTGAGACCCTGAGTTTTGCTCTTTGGGTATTTGAATAGTGCAGCCTCTGCTGGAGACTGTATCTCTCTTACCTGACCACTCAATGGCTGGAGTTGGGTTTCCTCTAACACTGCAGCGGAACTCGGCTTGCTGCCCTTGCTGGATGGTCAGGACGGGAGGTTGAATGGTAGCAAAGGGCCGGGCATCCTCATCAACTGCACCAAGGTAGAGCTCAGATCAGTACAGCGTGGGAAAAACAGAACCGCTCAACAGCACAATGATCAAGATGGCGTAGGGGCCCAACAGGCAAAGCAAATTGCACTGAGTGCACATTGAGAGCCTTGACCCAGATGGTGTGAGTTTGGGTCTGGGTGATGCCACTGACTGTCTTCAGGGGTATCCAAGCGGTGACCCACACTTTGTTCATTGTTGGTATGGGGTAGATGTCAAGATCGTCATCCCTCCTCTAGAGGGCGCTCTGACCCTTTTGTGTTAGGTTCATTATCACGTACATCTGTCCCTGGATTCACTGTATTGAAACCCGGTTCTTTGGAATTTCAGGGCTCTGCATTTGAAGACAGATGCCCAGAGGCCCGCCTAGCATCAAGTCGCCTTACTCCTACTCCATTGGGCCCCTGAGCAAGGCCCTGAACCCCAACTGCTCCAGGGATGCTGTATAAATGGCTGACCCTGCGCTCTGACCCCAGGCTTCTCTCCCTGTCTGTGTGTCTCATGGAGAGCAAGGTGGGGTATGGGAATAGACAAACTCCTAATACAAGAAAATGGCCAATATATGGCCAATAAAGTGAACCTATCTCATCTTTCACAAATTCTGCTTTATTCTGTCCAGTTCCCTAAAGACCTACTGTTCACGTAAAGCGTAGCCCGTGCTGCGTGCTCTCCGTGAACGTTCAGCGCTTTGCAGATGTACTCCGCCTCATCGGAGCGCTCAGCCGCAGGGATGATGAGGACGCCCTCTCGGATGACTGCATTAGAGCTGATCCTGTTGCCCTGCCCTCCTGAAAGAAATGCAGCAAACAAAGGAAGGTGAAGGACCCGAGGGCTTTTATGAGGAAATTCTGGAAGAGCGCTGTGGGTCTCTTTTTTCCCCTTCCCCGCGTTCACATATGTTTTGTAAAGATCTTTACCTTTTGTAGTGCAAGTTTGGATGAATAAACGGATCTATGCATTTTGAGAACAAGTTTTCAATCACAGTCACTCCTGAGCTGACATTCCGCCAAAGTACTTCTGAAGATACTTCAGCATTGCAAGTGAGCTGGAGCCTGTCCCAGCAAGCAACGGGCACATGGCAGGGTACACCCCGAACAGGATGCCACCCTATAACAGCAACTGTAAGTGTAGTCCATCTACCTACTACTACTACGAAATGCTGTTGTGTGCTTATAATACTTAAGAAAGCATTTTCGTAGTAGTAGGTTGATGGACTACACTTACAGTTGCTGTGATAGGCTGACGTAAATACTGTAGATAGACATAATAGATAACCGAGGTCCTTACTCTCTGTGGTCATTAAAAATCCCAGGGGCGTTTCTCGAAAAGAGTAGGGGTGTAACCCTGGCATCCTGGCCAAATCTCCCCCTGGCCTTTACCAATCATGGCCTCCTAATAATCCCCATCTCTGAACTGGCTTCATCACTCTGCTCTCCTCCCCTCTTAGAGCTGGTGTGTGGGGAGTGTACTGGTGCACTATGGCTGCCGTCGCATCATCCAGGTGGGTCTACACACTGGTGGTGGTGGAGGGGATCCCCATAACCTGTAAAGCACTTTGAATGGAGTGTCCAGATAAGAGCTGTATGAATATAAGGAATTATTCTTTTTATTAATTCTGCTGCTATTGCTGACCACAAATTGGGCTTGGCTGTAGCTCATTACCAACTCCATGCCACAGTGGTGCAGACTAAAGAGAATATAGTAATTCAATGAAATTGACTGCAATGGAATTGGAGTATTAGGGTATGTGCTCTATATGGAAGCAGTTGTTGACAGATGCTGTGTTTCCTTCTTGGTGCTTTTAAAAATGACAGCGTGCTCTGCAGTGTGGGGCTCTGGCCACCCAGGGAACTGTTGTTCTGAGCCCTCGCTGGGGGTCACACCCCCCCCCCTCACCTGCCCACTCGATGGATGGAGTCGGGTTTCCTCGGACGGTACAGCGGAACTCGGCTCGCTGGCCTCGCTGGACGCGCAGCACGGGGGGCTGGATGGTGGCGAAGGGCTGTGACTCCTCGTTAGCTACAGCAAGGCAGAACTCATGTCAGGACGGGAGGGAAGAAAACGAGACTTCCGAGCCTCCCCAGGATCACTGTCACTGACAAAGGCTTTATTCAAATGACACTGACGTTATTACAGGTAAGAGTCAGCAGGGAAATGGTTCAAGTTTTAGGTTTTAGGTGAAGATGCTACTGCTCTTCATCTTGTATTTGAGTGAGGGTTTAAAAATGTCCTCTTTAGTGGAAAACGGATGTGACGTATTGAGAAAAAAAATGTGAGCCCCCAATACAATTATGGGAACTACAATTTCTTTCCTCTTTCTTTCCATTTTGATTTTTTTCAATCAAAAAATCGCTTTGATAAATTGAAACCGGGCTTCAGTAAGCCAAATGGGTTTAGATTTCTGAAAGGCTTTTTGAGACACAAAGGTGTATGACGTTGGAAAAAAAAGAAAGAAAAAGAAAGTATCGTCAGTTCACAAAGCAGGCTTTCTTGAAAACAGAATCATCAGATTTAGGGCAGAATAATTCCTCTGTCAGAAAAAAGGGCAGTGAAAACCAATAACATCAAAGGAGACGTTCCCTCGCCTTAAAAAAAAAGGGGTTTCTTACCTTGATTTGAGGAAACTTTACCTGTGTTCTCTTTCCATTTTTGAAGGCCCTCCAAAGACAAATTTCAAAATGCAAATAAAACTCTATGTGGTTCTGCTCCTTATTATGAGCCAGTATCGGCTAATAACAGATCTGGGATTTAAGCGGGTCAGATTCTTACTGTTGTCCTACCATTGTAATATCACTGAGAGGAGCTGAGAATATACAGTAAGATGCGACAATATTTTTTTCCCATTATTTTTCCAGTTCAAATAATTACTCTTGTATGCTTTTTTTTATTTGTGTATTACCACTATCAAAGCGGGGTGAAAGAACTATGGCCTGGGCCACTAGCTCACTCCTGCCAGAATTCTGTGTGCTGTTTTTAATCCACCACCTTCGTTACTATTAGTGACAAGCAGGTAACAAAAGCAGAATAAAAAAACAACAACAACTGACAAACTTAACTATGCAGTTGGGCACTTTTAAATGAAAGGGGGCAGTGAAAACAACTTTTTGGGAAAAATAACTAGCCACAGGCGTTCAATAAGTGGAAACATACAGGCAAACAGTATGTACCAAGTTGTGGAAATTAAAGATGTTGGTCTTGATTGATTATCATTACTGCTCATTTCTTACTGATTCACCAGTAACCTCAAACAACAGATCTGTCATTGGAGCTGGACTAAAAAAAGACAGAATTCCTGCAGGAGTGCTAATTGCATGAAGCGAAACTCAACACTTCACAATTTTCACAAGATTAATGAAATGCCAAGTCTTCTCCGTCTTTAGCACACTAAACTGACTTATTGTATCAGTTTATAGAGTCCTTTTTTAATTCATCTTGTGCCTCTCAGTAGTGTGATTAAACTACTTAGCCTTCTGTTCCTCTCCTGTCCTAATCATATTGAAGAGATTACAAAGGAACGAGTTAAAGGTTTAATTCCATGCTGAAAAGAGAAGAAAGGAAACACAACGTTTCTGCTGTGGAGCCTTCTTCAGGGCTGCGATTGTGAGACTCCCAGATCCCTCTTATGCTCTCTGTATCCTTAGATCAGTGGTTCCCACACCTGGTCCTTAGCTGATGGATAACGTAATTGATCTGCATTCTTATTTACTTTTACACCCTACTTCAAGGGTACGGTTTGCAACAATTTCAGCACAGATCAGTCTCTCCTCAACATGCTTGCTGTTATATCTGATTAAACAGCTCTTATTAGCTGAGCAATACTGGTGGCGGAGACACTGTATGATACACACCCACACTGAGCATTTTCAGGCAAATGACCTGAATGAGGGCAGCTCAGAAACTCAGAAATTGGTACAGAGTTGATATGAATTACAAACCCCATTTGATCTTTATGAGCTGCAAGCTAATTTGCAAATGTGCCCCAAAAAGAGACGTGAAATCAATGGGCCTGAGATTAAGAACTTGACTGGAGCACAAGCTCAAAGAGATGCTGTTTCTCCAGCACCAGAGCTGGGAACTGCTACTATTGCTGATGTGAAAATATGACTGTTGCGAAACATTGCTCATTCCAGTGTCATGGAGGGTCTGCCTGGTGGTTTCCAAACAGGAACACATTCCACTGTTCTGTTAGGAAACTATAACCTGGTACTGTTGTCTACTGTAATGTATAGGAAGCTCACTATCCTACCAGCTATGCCTTCAATACACATTAGAATCAAATTGAATTTCTCCATGTACTCCTGCAGTCCATATTTCTTAAATAACAGATGAATAATTCAGAATGGAACAAAGATGCTTCTGTTTCAGATACGTTATTTTCCTGTATTTGCCTCAATCCCTTCAAAGTGTTTTATATTGTAGAGTGTATTTATGCTGTGTGAGATACTACAAATCCTGCAACCATAAGCAACTTTCTTCTAGAACACTTCATATCCAAGTATCAATGATCTTTTACTTTAAATGGCAAAATACTTAAGATTACTGAAATCTGTCAACAAGGCTCTTCTATCTATAATAAATTAAAGAATTTTAAAATACATCCACTTTAGAAATGAATAATTTGTATAAATTACTGCAATATTTACCGCTACCTCATATACTGTATGCTGAAAGCAAAACAAACACAACAGATACTGTTGGTTCCAACGATCATTTGCTGCATTGTGAATGCTTCTCATAAATATACAGTATACAGTAACTTGGTACCGATGAACTTTGCAGCAATCAGGCTCTGTATGGTACCTGTGAAATTCATGTCAGTGTTGAGTTTGGCAACACACACAAAACTAGCCATGGTGCTACAACATAATGATGAAGAAGGTTTCAGGCAACAGATTGTCAGGGTAAAATCTATTAAATGTAAATTACTCGTCAATATATTTTTTTGGGTTTGGTCAAACATTAAGACCCGAGTGATTTCTAGCCACGGCCTGACTGTGGACGACTGAAGCCAGAGGTTGTGCCCCTGCTTGGCACAAATCCCTCTATGCAGACAACACAGATCAGACCCAGCAGCAGGGCTTTGGCAGAAAGCAGGGGCAGCACATTCTGTCCCAGCTTGGCAGGCTTTTGAGCCCCATCCTGAAAGCCATGTGATCACAGGGTGACAGATTCTCTGGTAGTGGGAAACAAGCCACCTTTCAGACAGCATAGAGTTCTAGGACATTAGTCACCCTGAGGGACAGTTCGTTAAAAAAAATTATACTGGTAACATTTTTCTGAAACTCTGATCATGGTATCTGAACATTTTCAAGTCACACACACAAAAACATGGCTGTCTGTCAGGGTAGCTAGTTTGATTTTAAAAATCAACGGGGTGTTACAATCCAATGACAGAATTTAACAGCGGCTCTAGTGTCTGTCTCCATTTGAACATGAAAATTGCTAAAGGGAGGTTCAGCCATTTTGGGGTCATGACTCCTCTTGCTTCTGGTAAAGATTCCAAATGAGCTTCAATGAGCTTCAATGAGCCCATTCTGTTCAATAACTGAACTTAGTATGGATGAAATGTGTTGGCACAGGATGCTATATAGAGACGAATTCAAGTCAATCATGAGATCTGTCAGATGGAATAAACCCAAGCTTAGTTACCACCTGATCTTTAAAGGTTTAGTTCCAATAGCATGGGAATGTGAAGGAAAGTTGGAAGAAGGCCAATCATGAACACACTATGATAGCCCAGAGTGCTGAAATAAGATTTGACTTAAGGAAAAATAATAGAGTGTGGCACAGCATGATGTTTGAAGCACTATAGAAGACCAAAAGCTGGAATAAAAAGCTTTACCCTCATGAAACCAAGCAAAATACTGTGCTAATAGTAAACAGGAGCTTCCTTTAGCTGTGCAATGGACTCTTACATGGCCAGATGCTTTCAAATTGAAAAGAAACAGCTCTAAGTATGATGGAATCAAAGAGACTGTACAGGAAGAACACTCGTTTTTTTCGGAAGAACAGGCACATTTTTGGAGAAACATAAGCATTACTTTTTGTTTTTAATTCTAGTGAATGAAATATGTGGAGGAAGTGTAAACCAATTTCAAAAAGATCTCTCCTTCCAGGATTTACACTCAATCTGGAAAGGACTGATTACAAACCTACTCAATTTGCAAACGATAAGTTTCCTCAAAAAGCCCCTCCATGGCTCAAAGCACTGATAAACTATATTGGCCACCTCATGTCCTGTTTTTGAATCTGGTTAATTCAGTAGCAACAAGAGGAAACCATTGAATTTTGGAAGCCTCTGTGAAGGCGTCTCAGTTCAAACCAAACTCTTCTGTCAGGATTCCAGTAAATGGTCTTTACAGTTGAGGACTGTTCATGAACTGTTCCATATAGTCTTCACTTTTAGAAAGAACTCAGATCCTGTGGCAAAATACCAGTACTTGTGTAGTAGTTGACTCCAAATACAAACCTCTGCAACAGTTCTCAGCGTTGGGTTGACTTGCCATGTAACAGTCATGCACAGCTCAAAGAATGGTCCTGTATAAATGAGCATGCATTGCGTTCCTACACCATGTGACCGATAAGGCCATGAGCTATGACAAAGGCACTTTAATGCTAATGTACAACCTGGAATCAAAAAGGACATCTCATACACAAACAATTGCTTGTCATATCATTATTACAGGACTCTGATCTCTTCCAGTCAATCTAGGTGAAGATTTTTGGTACATTTTAATCAATATTTACATGGCAACTGGCAAGGTCATCATGTCAGCTATAGTGGTTGTAATAGAAGAAAATTACCCAGGCCTTAAGTTACGATGCCTTACCTAACCTATTCATATCATTTATAGAAATCTTATTACGCAGTGTGCACATACAATTTAGACCTGTAATTTTCAGTTTTATCTCTCTCTAAAAATGCTGGATAAACACAGGCTTCTGGGAAATAAATCCCATTCTTACCATAGACTATTTTCATATGTAACATGGTTTGTAGTTATTTGTGAACATTCTTTTAGATCATTTTAATTTTCAGTCTGTGTTTTTGTACTTTTGGTGCATAAACCCAGAATTATATACATACATAAATTATATAGCAATTTTCAAGTATAGAAAACTAGTCATGACACCAGGTCTTGTAAATCTTTCTAAGTTTTTATCTTTTTATACTTAAAAGCCCAATTGAAACAGTACCTGTGACTTCTGCTTTCAGGCAACTGTCTCCGAAGGCACTTCAACATTGGTTTCTGTGTAGTGCGGCGTACATTAGCATTAAACCCTTCTGGGACCCATGCTGAAGAGTTCACTCCACACAAAGAAATAAAAAGAAATGGGGGCATGCTTGAGAGTAGGGAGGATCTTCAAAGATGAAGCCGTGCTGACTTACGCGGTCTATGTCCTTCAAACATTTCATAGGCTGTGTAAAACATCTGTGTCTTTGAGGCCTCTGTGAACGAGTGACAAGTCTTTCAATGAAACGTGACAGAAGTGACCAAAGTCATCGGGGCAGCTGGCCAATCAAGCCCTGGCATCCATGGTAACTCCTAGGTTAGGGTGGCGGCCAAATTGGAAACAATGGCATCCCAGCATGCCTTGCCAATTAGGCCTTCCCTTTCCTCCCTTGTTTTGTCTTATTGGTTTTCCAAATGATACACACAATGAAGCAAGTACTTCCAAGCAACATACAGTGTAGAGATGGAAGGAACTATTGATAAAGAACAAGGAAAAGATTCAGTAATGAAAAAAAACAAACATTTTTTGAAGAGGAAACTCAGATAAAGCTTCACACGCAAATTGGGCTTTGCAGCAGGGAGTTACAGTATGACTTTTCTTTTCATAGTATCTTCTGGAATTTGGAGCAACTAAGTTTGAAGAAGACTTAATGTATCTGCTAAAGTCACGGACAGCTTTGACAGGATTTGGAGTTTTCCCTAAACTTTTAAGCCAGAACTTTCTGGAATCTTAAAAGCCAAGGTTGTCAGGGCAACGAGGGTTTACAGCACAGGCTGTGTCCTGGGCAGAGAAAGACATTTCAAAATACAAGGGTGATGTAACAAATTCCCTGGATCATTATAAAATGCTATCATCAGAGGGGGCAAACATTTTGATTAGCTCAGTGCAGCACTGATCTGCCTTCAGTCCTCTGTTTGCTGGAAGCACTTTGAGACTGAGCCTGAAACTTGCTGTAGGTTCAGCTTTGCATTGCACAAATAACAGGGTGCCTTAATCCACCAACAATGTCATGAAAGTTATAGTGGTGAGCTGAGGTGACTGACAATCCCTAAAACCAATTTCTGTGTAAAACTAAACAAACAAACAAACAAAAAAAAATTATACTGAACGTGAAAGGCAAGGCACTCAAAAACCCAATCTGACATATATGTACTGCGCACTCTCCTGGAGCTCAACTGGTTAAATGTTTTTTGAGCCCAAGATCTGATGAAAGTCCAGGCCACTGTTGGAAACCTTTACTGTGCTCAAGCCAGCCTGCATTCTGTGATACAAGCAGTTAGCTAAGTGGTACACATCCAGACATTGCTGAGGAAAAGTAGAGAGGACACAGTAAAAAAAAAGACACTGGTAAAGACTGTGAAACAGCACTGCTTTTGTGGTAGAAGAGGAAAACCAATATGACTGCAGACAGAGTGCAGGGAACATGCTGAATCCATATACTGTACATTTTGCAGTTATAATACCAGCCGGAATAAAAGTTGAGTGTACAAGGCAGCTCAATACACAATTGTAAAGGAAACAAGAATTAATATACATTAATTCATTAATACATGAGTGCACATTATACAGGGGGAATCAGAGGCAGGCGTTCCCTAGTTTTAACCAAAGCCTGGCATGGTTTAACATCAGTTATCAGTCTTACAAAGATTGACATTCCTATAAATATTTCTTTGGTTTATTGTAGATGCTGGCAAAAAAAAAAAACCTTTCTTTTCAAAACTGCACAAATGACCTATTTTCAATTAGTCATGGCTTTGAAAATTAAAAACTTTAATGCTGCCCTTACATTCAAACTTTTGTCCATCCACCTCATTATATACAGTAAGTGGATATGCAGGTAAATGCTTTTCTGTGTTAACGGTACATTTGGATGCCAGGCGTCTACACTAGATGAGACGAAATTGTGTGATTACATGGTGGAGTGATGAAATATTAAATACACCCTCCTCATTTATCATGAAACCCATTTTTTTCTGACAAGTCCTGTATGCCCCCTTAATTGTTCATGTGTATTTACTTACACATGTAAGCCTGGAAAGGAAATTATGTTGGTTAACCATTTTATGCACCGGTTTTTCATTACATTTCCATTAAAAAGGGCTCATTAAAGCCCCTCTTAAACAAAACGTAATCTTACAGTATACTTAGCACAACAGGCTTATAAAGAAATCACAACATGTCAAGATTTTTGCAAAATGGGAAAGAAATTCAACTTACCTTCTCCCAAAGACATACATTTAATGTCTGGGCTTTTAGACACATATTAAAAAAAGTAGAAAGACATTTTTACCCAGAAATAGGTCGGTGTTTTTTTGTATTTTATGCACTGGGCTGAGATGTTTTTTGAACAGTATTCTGATTATTCTCAGAGAAAGCACTACTCTTTTGACCAGAGCACTGTCAATCAGTGTATTGCTAGTTTGCAGTTCTGCTGTGGGTAAAAACATTTAGCAGACAAACATCCTTTGCTGTAAAAACCCTGCCCTGGCAGAATAAAGTGATCTATTTCACCCATCATTTACACTGAACATTGACCATGACCTTGTTAACATTTTCTGTGTCAGTCAGTTCAGATGCTCCTGATGTACTGTACTCCCAGTTCAACATGCACAGGGAAACATGAGACTAGGAACGCGTTTTTGGTGAAGCTTACTAGTTTACATTTAAATTTGTGACCACTGTGATTGCTCAATCACATCTATTCTTCCAGTTGGTAAACTTGATGACCCCGCAGGGTAAATTGGGCCCAGAAAGAGGTGTTTCACTGCGGATTGAGCAAAGTCTAAGCATGTTAGATCAGTGCCTGCTGGAAGAATGAGAAAAGAAGTTCCAATTTATACCACATTCTACTCCTATTTTTACATGCTAAAAAAACAGATTTAAAGAGAACAGTTACATCAGCTAAACGCAAAAAGCTATTTATTACTGTTTATTTTCATGTTCATCCATTACTGACGTTTTCAGCTCTTGTTTCCCCATGCAGGCTATCTTGTGCTGTCTGTTACCTTTGAACCGAAGACCCATCAGGGCCCTGTGAGTTTCTGTCCGTGAAAACAGCCTTTTCCAAGGCAGGGAATTAAAATCGGGGATAAAAAGAGGAAACAGTGAAGTGGCAGCCACATGCATGCAGGTTAGTATAGGACACGTATGTAAAGGCTTTACTTTGAGAGATTTTGTATTTACTTGACCATTTTATTTCTTTGTGGAAAATGGGATTCCTAGTATATCTCTGCAACGGAACAGCTCTCCACTGGTTTTGTCTTCCTAAAAAGACTGATATGAAATAAAGCTGAAGCTAGGAGGATTATGTTTTTGAAGCAATACAATTTTTTTAATACAACATAGAAGGCTCTCCATTCCCACAGTTCTGAACACTAAAGTGCAACAAAATACACTGCAGTAGTATATAGATGATGTAAGAGACAATTAATCTTGAAACTGTGCTTGCTAATACAAATTGGAACATTTCACATCATTGGATAAAACATTGTGTCAGCGCTGGTCCTTTTTACATATTCAGTTTGTATAAAGCATTGGCATTTAAAATATCCCTAGCTTTCACAACACATTAATTGTGTAAAATCACCTTGCTGAACAGCAGACATACAACTCTTGTTGCCTTAATGTTATCTAAGAATACACAGTTTTCACTCAGTCTTGATTGATTCCCCAGAAGGTATTTTTATGGCAAAAGATAATTTTTTAAAAACAATAGCTTTAATCCTGAAAATACAGTACATTTCTTACATATAGGAATGTTTTCTACCTGTTTCCAATTTCTTGCAGGTGTACTATTGTCTATGTGCAAACCTAATTTTGCTCAGACCTTTAAACCAGAGACAGTGTACAGTAGTTTACAGTAGACATGTATGTAAATAAGATTCACAGTTTACATAAATAAAATTCATAATAATGTATTCCAAACATAATACACAACAAAGCTGGGAGGCGCAACTCCAGTCCCGGGGGCCAGAAGGTTTCTGGTTATCCTTTCTCCTGAGCTCTTCATGACCTAATTGAACTCGCTTAATTAGATAAGCTGAAGCCTTTCCTCAATCTTAAGGAACGTTAGATATAAAATAAAAAGATCTAAAAAACCTGCTGGATAGCAGCCCCTTGAGAACCAGAGTTGAGCTCCCTTGCAGGTTTAAATGCAAAAAGAAAGATCTACAATCTTCAGTTTTCACCAGATAACTGTGAAAACGACAAAAGCACCTCTGTAAAACACTGCAAGAAAAACACTGGCTACAAAATAAAATAACCATCTGAAAGTTAACTTACATGAAATACAAAATGAGTCTATCATACTGGAGGAGACTGTAGTATCACTGGAGCATTATACTGTAGCTACAGTATGTGCATTTGGTTTTGAGAATCACCAGTATAAGTGCAAGGCTATAAAGGAATTTATTAACAAAAGTTAAATCTACATATTTAAACTGATTTTTTAATGTTTTTAGGTAAGAACATGTCAAACAATGATGACTTTTCATGTCAAGTAATGATGACTGTCATTTATTTTGCATTTATCTGATGTTTTTTTGTGCTTGGATGACTTACTGTAGCATTACTCTGTGTGTGCAGTCACAAAGTCAACCATGCCAATACTGAAATCATGCCCTGCTTCAAGGTTCATGTATGCAAGTGACAAAACTTCGTCTTTATTTGGAAATAAACTTATTACCCCATGTATATGTGTAAGTGTGTGTGGCTACACATTGAACGCTTTGATATTGACATTGAACTGGTGACAGAAATTCCAGTCACACCTGCCCATACGTTTTAAGAGTTCAAAGCTAACAATGAAAAATGCTAACTCAGATGATGAAAGAATTATCTTTCAAATTCGCTGTCACCATCTGCCCTCACTTGTATCTTCAGCAGCTGGAGCTTTAAGAGACTCCAAGAACTTAAATTCACACTGAGGACAGCAGGTCTGTCTGTTGCCCCCTGCTATGGAATTTGCTACATACTGCAATGAGTCAGAAGGTGCTGACTTCAACCTCCCAAAGATCTCCCCCTTTGGAATGGCATTCTGACTTTGTTAATGTACTTTGGAGGTCAGGTCTTCTCAAGGAACACTACATAAATCAACATTGTATAATGAATTAATAGACATCAAAAGGAAGAACAAATAGTGCTTTATACTAGTATTCCATATATGCTGGTGGATGTCTTTTAGGTTGTGACTGAAAATTCAAATAAATCTATTTT